TTGCTCATGTTGTTGCTGGCTTGGCCGACAGTTGCATTAGCAATCGCCTCGTCGATATCCCTCATATAGATGGCTTTGCTCATCACATGGTCGGGACCGACCCCAAGACGAGCCATGAAGTTTCCCACGTTCCTCTCGTGCCACCAGTCATAAGAGTATCGAGAAGTGAAGAGCCCGTTCATCAAAGCGCTGGAGATCAGCAGAGCTAGAATAACCATGTTTGCATTCGTGGTTTTCCAGACCCAGCGAAGGAGGGCGAAAGTCCAAATCAGTATGGACGAAACGGCGCTCTCAAGGAAGGAAAGAAGCGTCTCGAGTAAGAGTTGAGATAAGGTTCTCTGACGCCGAGGCTTCCGAGGTTCAAGTTTCAGAACTGATTCGCTGGACGAAAATTGAGATGTATGTTGTTGGCGTCCGATGTGACCGAATATGGTAATGGCCTTTTTTGTTCGGCTATGGACGCCTAATTTTCGCACCTGGTCGCTGACAAGATCAACAAGGTCCAGAGCATCTTGCTCTAGGTCATCCGTTGCTTGCTTGTCGATGATTCCTGGAAACAACTTAGCGATTGTGCATGAAAATTGGCTCGCAGTGCTAATGAACCACTTACTCTGGAGTCCATGAGGGGACCCAAGCCACTCCACTTTCGTGTATACTGCAAGCTTGCTCTTTCCCTTCGCGATGAATGTAATCACAATCTTGCTCACCAACCTGAACGAGCGCTTAAAAGGTAGGTGCCATGGAGTCCGCTTGTCAGTCACTACGTAGCACAAATGATCGTTGAGAACATCAATGATTTGGTAATCGGAAATCGTTTTGCCCTGAGTGCGTCCTACATGAAGGCGATCGTCAGTCACCTTGCCAGACGGTGATGGGTAGAGATGCGTACCAAGCAAGTCAGTTGTCTCGATCTGATACTCAAAGTCACGTCGCAAATGGCGAGATGCGTTTCTGATCCACGGTCCTTGTTTGATATCTTTCATATCGGTCAGCCAAAGGTTACCCTAGTCATCTGTGTGGAACGAACCTCGCGATCTTCTTTCGTGCAGAAGGAGTTGCCAAACAGCACTCTTGTCGCCGAAGAGGATATGGAATATCGCCTTTGGACTAATATCGAATATCTTCTCTGCGGCGAGGTGGAGGTTGCCCTGGGGAACATATTGGACAGGTTGTGTTGGCAACCGGAACTTTGGCGCATTTTTGCCATGGTTGCCGTTCTTTGAATGCAGATCCAAGTCATAGTCGATGTAAATCGGTCGGCGGAGATCCTTTTGCTGTCCGGCAGCAATGTTGTCCTCCTCGATACCGTTCCTGTCGTCCGAAACAGCCGCATCTTCCCGGCTATTCAGGCTAGGGCTACGGTTCCTTGTGTCGGTCTCCATCCTGATCAGAGCCTTGAAAATTGCTTCCAACCCCATGGGCTCAACAGCTGTTGAATCTTGGATCAAGAAATTCAGTCGTCTTTGAAGAAGTCTTAGAGGCTCAAGGAATGTTTTCACCGTGATTCGTCCAGGAGTATCCTCACCAAGAGGCGGGATAGTATGAAGGAATAAGAAATCGCAGTCTCTGCCGGGTGCAGCGGTCACTTCCTTGATGCTTTCCAGCGAGACACTTGTGGTTAAAACTAATCCAAAATAATGGCTGTAAAAATATATGCTGCGAGTCGTAACGTATGCCCTTCCAGGAAATTCTTGCTGATCATTGGGATTCCATGTGGCTCGGAAAACCATGACCAAAGGCTCCTCTCTCTTGACGTCAGGGAAAAGCAGGCGAAATTGAGCATCCTGAGGCCGAAGTTGCTCGGGGTAGTAACTGGGATACTCATGCGAAATACCCAGAATCGCCCTCTGGACCTTCAACGCATCCCCGTCAAGACTAACAGTCTGCCTATGGCGAGGGCCAGACTTCTGCTGCTTGGATGCTGCGGTGCCGTTGGTCAAATCTGCGTCAGATGATTGCGGTTGCTTTGACGAATCAGTCACTGGAGTTGATGGTTGTTGTCCGACAGAAGTTTCCTCGCCGGCCCCTGCAAGCTGCGCATCACGTTCGCGTTCGAGTCGGTTCATGAAGCCCCAGTTGGAACTACCCCACAGGTTGGCCATCATACCGCTAGGCATCCCACCTGTCTTGTCGGCTTGCCCCAATCCAATACCTCGTTCATTGCTCACGATTACAGCGGCTTTGCTCATACTGGTAGGGGCGGGTGGATTCGCCAAGGTGGAAGGCGCGAGTGTCGTAGGAGGAAGGCTGCGGTTTGTCAAACTGCGACTTCTGTTCCCGTCAGTATCGGTCCCGCCTACTGAGAGACCGTTACTGTGCCCAAACGCGCTATGGCTGGCAGAAATCAGGCCTGCGATACCGCCACCTGCACCGGGTAGAGATATAGATGGTGGGACAGCATTATTGTTGGACTTGCGGTGAAGATCCAATTTCTGAATGAGTCGAGAAGTGTGTTCTCGCGCGGAACTCTCGGGATCCAAACCAGTCATACGCCTAGGGCTGCCGAGATCGCTGCTGTTCCGAAAGGCCGATGGGTCCCGGTCTGGAACAGACAACCCTCCGCTACGATCCGATGATCCATGCTCATCATTTGCGTGCGGCGTGAGCGAGTCGGCCGGATCAGCAGCAAATTCAGGTGCTGGAGGCTGAGAGATTGCAAAGGCTGGATCTTGCACAGTAACCTGTCCAGAAACCGAGACGTCGGTGCTTGTCGGGTTTTCCAGCGCTTTTCGTTTAGCTGCCTCAAAAGCAGCAATCCATTCCGTGAGATCCTTCTGAGTCTCGGCCTGCAATATTATGGTGTTGCTCTTGGTCTTCACTTCGAAGCAGAATCTTCGTTCTTCTTGAAAAGCAGGCCGTATACTGCACAATAGCACACCTATCCGCTCACTTTCTTCAACTCCGCCAGTTCGGGAACCCTGCACGAGGCAGCCAAAGATACCGTTCTTCAAAAACGCCCATCGTCTCACCCAAACGGTACGTGTTGGTTTGCCTGACAATGTTCGCAGATAAACCCAGCCTTGCTTCTCGGGCCGTGCTTCCTTGGTCATGTTCAGATCCGACAGAGGGCGAGAGCCCAGATACGGGACGGTGGATACTGAATAGTCTTCCAGCTCGCGAGACGGCCGGGCAGCCAGCTCTGCAGCGTCTTCAATCTGCTTTCTGGCGGAAAGGAGCTCACGCTTTGAGAACTTCTCGCTGCCCTCCATTTCATGGATCCAGCCTTTTATGCGATCCATCTCTTGGCCCCATTTGGCAAACGATGCACCATTGTTATTATGGAGAGCCTTGAATTCCCTCCACTGGTCGAAGGAGACCCGGACTAACAGCCGATCGAGCGAGTTTCGTATTTGGGGCGCTTGCACCGAAAAATCCATCGACGCTTTCAGGTAGGCTTTGCGGGCTTCGTGGAGCTGGAAAGCATCTTCCCTCAGGGATGAAGGTTCTTTTGATTTTGACTGTGAAGAATATCTAGATAGAAGGTAATCGTATTGCTTTTGCGCTTGTTCGAGGGTGCGACGAGTCTCCTGTAGCAGGGTAAGATGACGTTCCTCTCATGCTTTCAAAAGGGGCCGGGACACTCCGTTTACCTTGAAACTCCGTAGATCGTCGTGGACGAAGGCTTTTATAGGCTCTGATACAAACGATTCCATTTTCTTCGCAGTGGCGATTAAACCATTCCACAGATCTTTCGAGCTCTCACCACACCTGCTCATTGCTTGTATGGTATAATCATGGTCGAGGACAGCTTCGGAGACGATGAGGGGGTTCGAAGAATACGCCAGAAAGGTATTCACCGCATTTTCTATTGTCGCGAGCTCCGCGACGAGCTTCGAAGCGGCCTTTGCATAACCATCCAGCCATCTTTCAAGGTAATCAATTTGATCGGAGAAATGAAGTGTGGTGGCCCGGAAAGTCGGGGAATCGAGAGCAGCCTCTTTCAATCCAACGGGCCTGTACCGACATAATCAGGTTAGCATTACATTGACAAATCGCTCATCTGAACTTACACCACACTAATAAGCTTCCCAGCTTGGGACAATGCGTTCTGCGGCTGAGTCGACATCTAGTGAATATCCCGGGCCATACATTCGATACAGATAGGGGTAATGGTGAGAGAGATCGAAAAGTATGACCCCAAATATTGAAAGCAACGACTTAGAGGGCCATTCATAGGAGTAAATATACACGCGAGCAAAAGTAACAGTTATGTTGAGAGGAGGGCTTTGGAACTCTCTCTTCAAGCCATCCGGGGTCAAACTGCCCATCCATGATTTAATTGGCTACGTCAGTGCTCCGTTGTCGTGGCCTGCGTTCTGAGGCAACACTGGGCGGATCGCAGGCGGTGAGCACCGAATGAATATTTTTTTTCTCTTTTTCTGCCAACGACTCCAACTTTTTCCAATTGAGGAGCGTCGCACAAGTCTGCTGAATTGGCGGCTCTCAGAGCAGTTGTCTACTCCTGGCTCTTTTTTATTTGATTCGGGCAAAAATGGAACCTCCAGCGAAGAAACCACGCAAGCTTCTTGACGATGACAGCTCCAGCGATTCGGGAGACGAATCTGGCGGAGTTCCCATCACCAATCAGTCGGAGCCTGCATTCAAGATCAACGAAGACTATGCCCGTCGTTTTGAACACAACAAGAAGCGAGAAGAGTTGCAGAAATGTAAGTCTGCGTTGCTTGGAATTATACTTCTTCGGCGACACCAGTCTAATGATTGTTTTAGTGGAATCAAAATTAGGAAAGACTTCAGCGCTCGGGAAACGCCGTGATCGCGACGAGGATGGCTCCGACGATTCGGAAGAGTCATCGTCGGATGAAGAAGAAGATGAAGATGGGGAATTGGTGACCCCGGCCGTCGATGCAGAAATTATGGCGACACTGAACGCAATTCGATCAAAAGATCCTCGTGTCTACGACAAGGACGCCAAATTCTATACAGCCCTCGAAGAGGAAGAGGATTCAAACACAGGGAATATAGAGAAAAAGCAAAAGCCCATGACGCTTCAAGACTACCATCGGCAAAATCTTCTTAGTGGTGCTCATCTGGAAGAGGACGATAGCTCCGATGCTCCGAAGACCTACGCTCAGGAACAAGAGGAGTTGAAAAATGCTATTGTTAAAGAGATGCACGCCGCCGCTGATCAGGACGACTTGGACGTTGACGAGGATAAGGATGAGGATGGAGGATTTCTAATTCCGAAATCGACTACCAAGTCAGCCTCGGAACCGAAGGAGGAAATCAAGCTGGACGTTGAGAATGCGGACAAGGACCCTGAGACTTTCCTTTCGAACTTTCTGTCTTCCAGGGCATGGATTCCAGCTGGTAGATCTGAGCTGCAGCCCTTCGAGTCTGACGATGAGGAGGAGGAGGAGCGGGCGGAAGTCTTTGAGGAGGCATACAACTTCCGCTTTGAAGACCCTAGCAAGCTGAACGCGACCCTGTTGACCCACGCTCGTGATAAGACCAACCAACAGTCTGTTCGCAGAGAGGAAAAGAGCGCCAGAAAGAAGCAGCGTGAGGCTGAGCGCATGCGGAAGGAGAAAGAAAAGAAGCAACGGGAATCTGAAAAGAATCGTCTTCGCAAATTGAAGATGGAAGAACTTCAGGAGAGGGTCAATAGGATCAAGGAAGTCGCTGGCTTCCGCGCATCTCAGTTCACCGATGAGGACTGGGCTCAATTCCTGGATGATGCTTGGGACGATGACAAGTGGGAAAAGGAGATGCAGAAACGCTTTGGCGAGGACTACTACGCCGAGGAAGACGTCGCTGGTAGTGATGGCGAGGGCAAGGGCAAGAAGAAGCGTCCAAAGAAGCCTACATGGGATGATGATATTGATATCAAAGATCTGGTGCCCGATTTTGATGAGGAGGAACCCAAGCCGGCATTGGAGGATTCCGATGTCGAGATGGAGGATGGAGGTGCCGAGGATGATGCTGAAGACACGAACAAGAAGAGTAAAGCTCAAGAGAGGCGGGATCAGAAGCGGGAAGCCCGCAAGGAGCGGCTTCGCATTGAGGAGGCAATCGATCGCAACCTGGATCTCGACATTGCTCTTCTACCTGGCGCCACCAAGAAGAACACGACTCGCTTCCGCTACCGCGAAACCTCGCCTCAAAGCTTCGGATTGACTGCGCGGGACATCCTGATGGCTGATGATGCACAGCTGAATCAGTTTGCGGGTCTGAAGAAGCTCGCTTCCTTCCGTGACCCCGAGAAGAAACGCAAGGACCAGAAGAAACTCGGCAAGAAGGCTCGTCTGAGGCAATGGCGCAAGGAGACCTTTGGCAATGAGGAGGGTCCTGTCTTCAGCTTCGGCAATGAAAAGCCTGCGGGTAACGCGGAGCAAGCAGACGATGGAGACAAAGTCGATATTCGGGAAGGGGAGCCTAGGAGGATGAAGAGAAAGAGGTCCAAGAAGCATTGATCGCTGGCTTTTGTTCGAGCTGATTCTTGTCTTGTAAATACCACTTGCAGTTGCTGGGAAATAGCTTGTTTATAATGAACATATATCATGAGGTTCAACGGCTTCTCGTTTTCCGTCGATCTCTCAGGCATGATCCCTTCTCAGCGGAATTGTAACAACGGTGGCATCTTCGACTAGTCTGGATGATCTGGTCCTTGCTACATATCGAGGTGGCTACTGGCTTTTGACTATTGGAGTCTCGAGTTGAGGCACCCGATACTACACTTGAGCCGTAAATATCATACTCTGTGGCTCTTCGTACAATCTCTTGACTGGCACAGTATGAGGCAAATACAAGAAGATATCGTTACTTATCAGGGGACCCGCTACAGGAGAAAATTGAACTGCATATGGAGTATAGTGATAGATCGATCATAGATAGCAGACATACATGTTCTCAGCCTGGTAGAGAGGTATGGTAGAATACCCCCATGTTTTGTGGGTCTTTCCACTCTCTTTCAAGTTTCAACGGCAACTAAGAAAACAGCCTAGCTGGAAAGAAAGCAATGGGCGCAAAAGACCTGAGAAATCTGAAACTCATTGGAAAGGTATTTCGGAAACATCATTTTTAATAGGGACCTTCCGCTAGACATCTGGCATCTACTGGACAATCGCTGTACCGTCGCGACATCGATTTTCGTACGTCGAGAAATGATAGACTAGTCAAGTAGCTTTGACCTCCCGAAACATAGTGGATGCTACCGAACCGGTCATATACAGTAGTAGGTACACCGTACACCGTACACGGACCGTCCTGTCAAAATTTCAGCGTACGTGAGAGCAGTTTCTTCAGACGAATTGGATCGATCTCATTGCTAAGAATTGTTTTTGACGGATGGACGTATGAGATGCTTGTTGAGTGAATTCGCCAGCCCAATTGTAGGGTACGCAATTGACATTGCTTGATAACTAGGAAAGATGTTGAATATAGATATACGGAGTAGTAGTATGTCCCAGAGCATCCGCGGCACTCAGGGCCGAAACGTAGCCAAGCATATGACCGGCGTGACAGACAAATCCAGGAATTCCTTGCCTTGCAGTGTTGATTGATAGCTATCTACTCCGTAGGGAATCCGGACTTTGAAGTCTGCCATATCTTCTACCGCATTTACAGAATCTGCAAAGACTGACAGGGTGGCTACCTAGGTGGCTAGGAAGTTTTGCCATCGGATACTCGGGACAAGAGCAAGAATAGAATCCTTGAGCCTTGAGCCTTGAGCCTTTAGCCTAGGAGATACGTTCCCCGTGTGGATGCTGGCTGACTGTGGGTGACTGGGCGGAGGCTCTCCTCTGCGGGTTACGGTTGGCTCGGTCACGGGGAAACAGGTAGAGTACATAGAAGATATCAATCAAACAAAAACATTCGTTCCATCTTGAGTAGTTGAAATTATTGGTCAAGCCTGTCACAAGAAGAGTATCGTCGTTATATATAGACCCTAATAAATCATGAAGAATCTGTGCAGAACAGTCATCGAGACCGAGTGACAGATATTATTACTCCGTAGATACTGTGTTATTGTTGCTCTGGTCGATCGGGAATTATCGGCTCTCGTTGCCTGGGCCAGCGTTAGCGCCCGGTTCCGAATTTTCCTTTTTTTTTTTTCTCCCCCTTCTTTTTCTCTTTCGCTGGCCGTTTGTCCGCTGGCAAAAAAGAAAAAAAAGGAAAAAAATTGCTGCGAAATTTTTTTACGCTTGAGGCCAGCAAACCAGAATTTTCCAAGAGCGTCCTAGCGGCTCCACTCGCTTCCTCCCGCTTACAAGAGCCCTTCGCTCGCTATTTTTCTTTCCTCCCTTCCCCTTCCCTTTCCCTTCCTCTTTTTTCTCTTCCCATCCTCTTTGAAGTGTCCTGTTCTTTTTTGACACTCAACCCCATCTCCTCTCTTCGTCTTTCTTAGTTTTCGTCCTTTACAGCCGTCAACATGGCCAAGGGTGACGTTAACCAGGTCGAGAAGTCCGTCTTCGGCATGCCCGTAAGTTGCTATTGCAATCCTGTTTTTTGGCAACAACCGGTCAGCATCGGTCAAGGTCTTGAAATGATGGCAATGATGGGAATTGAGCTCGATGAAGTGGAAGATCATTGCCATCATCTTTGGGAACTCGACTCGATGTTTTCGACATGGTTTGGCCCTTGAAGTCGGGGAAACAACTCGCTGACAGAATTTTCATCACAGGGATTCGTCGTCGACTTCCTGAGTATGTGCCATCTAAATCAATCCCAATGATTGTTTAATCTTCAACAATCATCAATTTGCGACAACGGGGTCAATTTATCGAGCTTTTACTGACCATTTCCCAGTGGGTGGTGTTTCCGCTGCCGTCTCCAAGACTGCTGCTGCCCCCATCGAGCGTATCAAGCTCCTTGTCCAGAACCAGGTTGGTTACCCATCTTCGCTTCCGAATCAGCAGTCCAGATGGCTGCCGCTCTGCGAGAAAACAATTCGGACAGAGCGAAGCTTTGCAATGACTTCCGATATTTCTGTCGCCATGATCCAGGACGATCGGATGGTCGCAGAACTTGCCCTTTTACGAATTTGGCCGACAACAATGTGCTCAGTTAGAACGCGACTAATGCCCTTCACTACAGGATGAGATGATCCGTGCTGGCCGTCTCGACCGCAAGTACAACGGTATCGTCGACTGCTTCCGTCGTACCGCTCAGGCTGAGGGTGTCATGTCCCTGTGGCGTGGTAACACCGCCAACGTCATCCGTTACTTCCCTACCCAGGCTCTGAACTTCGCTTTCCGTGACACCTACAAGTCGATGTTCGCCTACAAGAAGGAGCGTGATGGATACGCCAAGTGGATGATGGGTAACCTTGCCTCCGGTGGTGTACGTATATCCTCAGCATGTCTCCTGAAGAGATGACTCGGAGCTAACGAACTATCCAGGCTGCTGGTGCCACTTCCCTCCTCTTCGTCTACTCCCTCGACTACGCTCGTACCCGTCTTGCCAACGACGCCAAGTCCGCCAAGGGTGGTGGTGAGCGTCAGTTCAACGGTCTCGTTGATGTCTACCGTAAGACCCTCGCTTCCGACGGTATTGCCGGTCTCTACCGTGGTTTCGGTCCCTCCGTTCTTGGTATTGTTGTCTACCGTGGTCTGTACTTCGGCATGTACGACTCCATCAAGCCTGTTGTCCTGGTTGGTTCTCTTGAGGGTAGCTTCCTTGCTTCCTTCCTGCTCGGCTGGACTGTCACCACTGGTGCTGGTATTGCTTCTTACCCTCTTGACACCATCCGTCGTCGTATGATGATGACCTCCGGTGAGGCCGTCAAGTACAAGTCCTCCATGGATGCTGCTCGCCAGATCATCGCCAAGGAGGGTGTCAAGTCTCTCTTCAAGGGTGCTGGTGCTAACATCCTCCGTGGTGTTGCTGGTGCTGGTGTCCTGTCCATCTACGACCAGGTTCAGCTCATCCTCTTCGGCAAGAAGTTCAAGGGTGGCTCTGGCTAAACGATTGATTAACTTCGAATCGTTTTCTTCGATCCGGCTTTACAGGGGAAGGGGTTGGTCAGTGCCAGGCGTAACTGCCTGAAACTGTACGCTACTGTGGATGGTGATAGAAAATATGCTCCAAGAAGGGTATCGGGAGTCTTGAGCATAAAGCAGTGTGATATTTCCTCGTGTACCCGTTGTACTTTACTGCCTGCAAGCTTTTTCTTTTTCTCAATGTGTACTTCTTTCCGGTACGAAAACTGGTTTTTGTTTTTGGGGTTGCCTCCTTGACATTGCCTCTGTAGGTGAAAATTTTCCTCCTCGTAAACACATCACGTGTGCTTGACCACGTGATATGGATGGGTCTCATGACGTTGGTCGGTGCAGCTATCCCTTGAGACATGGGAACTTGTCTTCCGGATGAAGTTGTCAGTGCTTTGTGTTTACAATACCATCCTAACATGACTACAACCGCGCTTCCTGACGCGACTGCCCCGAAGCAGGAAGAACCAGCTCCATCCGAACCTGCATCTATGTCGGCCACCGCAACAGCACCTCCATACTCTCCGATCTACGCCACTGCGCAGGCTCAAGCAGGAAGCATCACAACCATGCCTGCGCCGACTGCACCAACGACATCTGGAAGTGACGGATCTCCTCTACCCACACCGACCGAAACCATAGCCACCCCTGCCACGAGCACAAATACCTCGCCTCCACCCCCTCAACCTGGGGCTCGTCCCAACCCAGGAATTCCAGCACCAACGGCAGCGCCAGCTCCATCCTCAGCTCCAGTCCCCGGCCCCGTCCCTGGCCCTGGTCCCCAGCAGGCTCACCCGCAACCGCAACTGCAACCAACGCCTACCGCTGCAGCCACAAGCGCAACTACAGCTCCGACGAACCCCATCCCTAGCTACGGCTACAGCTACGGACTCACCCACCCACCACAGCAACAACAATTTCATACACAACCACACCCACACCCAAACTCAACGAGCACACCCTACGCCTCGCTGTACCAGCCTCCCACCGCCACGACCACCACCACCGTCTCCTCCTCGCAACTCCCCTTCTACCAGACCCAGGGCCCAGGCACGGGCGCGCGCACCGACGAGCTCGACGCCAGCCAAGAAGGCGGGTCCGGGTTCCTGGCAAGCGCCAGGTCCTGGATGGCGAGTGCGGGGACGAAGCTTGCGGAGGTGGAGGCCGAGGTGTGGAGGAGGATTAACGAGGCTCATGATAGGTAGATGGAGCTACCATCTTCTCCGTATCTGTTCGTTGTGTATTGATTTATGTTGGGATTGGTCTGTTTCTGTTTCTGTTTCTGTTTCTGTTTCTGTTTCTGTTTCTGTTTCTGTTTCTGTTTCTGGATCTGGATCTGGATCTGGTCTCGGGCGATTGTTTTGGATTGGGATGGCATAGGGGGAGGATTGGGCTAGGGCTGGGTGGCGTTTATTGTTTATACCTTGACATGAATCAGGTTTGGTGGTTGGATTGGCATGGGATGGGAGATGGCTCTGTTTGAGGATTTGTATATGCGGATTGTGTCTCTTAGGCTGAGGACCTGGGTTCCCATCGAATCGAGCATGTGCATCAAGACAGTCTTGACTTGTTTCCGGTCATATTGATGAATTAACCACCATGAGTAAATAGGTATATCTTCGGCTGACAGGGTGAGGTGGACTACTAATGCCCAAAATAGACTATGATCACATAATTGGACAATCTATCATGCCAAAGGCAACGATTTCTTATTTCTGTTTGTTGTATACTATAGGTATTGTTATATACTGGTGGAACTTGCCTGAGAGTAGACCACCAGGAACATGCAGATCTGCAAAGTCATCAAACTGAATGTACAGCCGACCAAGAGATTAAGTGGAGAATTGAGGATCCGTCTTGCGCCAGGCACATGCACAGATAAATGAAAATGGGAGCAGCATGGGATAAATAGACTGCAAACCCCAGATGTATCGATATGCAAAGGTGAAAGCTGAGCATGCATGCGCTCCAGCTTGGTATTAAAAGGGAGTAAAACCATCAAACCCATACCCAGAAACTCCGTGAACCCGATCCCTGTGAATTCCAGATCCCAATGCATTAAAAGACCATTCGATCGAGCCAGTCAGACCGTGGGGTGCCGTGTTGTTGAATATCTGGCAACCTGATTTTCGAGAGCATGTCATAAAGAATCGTAAAAAGTCAAGAGGTCCATATCGGGGATGATCGTCCCGCCTCCGAATCGTAGAAAGTAAAATCAAATCGTCAAAAGGTGTACCCGAGTATAAAAGCCATTCGCACCAACGCCGATTCCTGTTGCTGATGTTCACATAGATCCGAGTCTTAATAATGCTTCCACCGCAGCCCGTTCTTCCTTGTCGCCAACCATGCCGTCAGGCACGGAAAAGCCAAGCTGTTGAATGGGAATATGCCGCGGCGCGGATTTCGCCAACGAGGACGGAGCAGGTCCGCCGCCTCGCAATAGAGGGGATGGTCCGTTTCCATTTACGAACCCTCCTCCTCCGTTCAATGAACGTGCGCGGAGTGCTGCAGCCCCTATCTGCGCCCAGTCCTCCTCATCGGTGACATCCTCCTCACCCCAGTCCTCATCTGGAATCTCTTCATCAGGAGCCTCCGAAGATGAGCAATATTCGCGGTCGTCTCCGTCGAGAGACATCTTGTCCGCTTCATGTTCCAGCATGCTGAGATCCCCATGTCTGTGTTCTCTTTCTGTGTACGAGAACACGACTGAACCTCCAGTCATGCTGCTTCCATAGGGATATGAGGATTCTCGTCTGGTCGGAATGGCCATACCCCGCGGAGTAAACGAGCTCGAGAAACTGGCGGGTGGCGACGCGGTCACATGCGAGGAGTTGCGCATGGGTTCGCCACGGCGTCGTGCATCCCAGCGGCCCCAACCCACTTTCTCGAAAATGACATCGCCGTTTAATCCTCCTCCCTCATTTCCTCGGCCCTCCAAAGCCGCCACGACGAGTCTGCGCGCCTTGGCAGGAGGGATCCTGGAGAATCCGGGCACCGAAGTGGTCAGGTATGCCATGACATGACGGATAGCCAGAGGACCTTGGTTGAGCATGACCTCGGGCAAGTGATACCTGGCCAGCATGCTCGGGGTGATTTCTCCCACGTTATCCAGGCCATGCGCAGACTGACCCTGGTCAGTTGCAGCGTCGCCCAGGTCGATATCAGAATCCACATGCGATGTGGCCAGCGGAGGAGAACCGGGGAGGCGAAGATCTCGTTGCTTGAAAGCCTGCGGAGGGAGAGTCGGGGAGATGGAGTTGGGAGGCGTGGGCAACATCGCGGGATGTCCTGGACGGAGAGAGTCACGTCCGCCGGAAGGAAAGCCAGAACGGGGCTTGGGGATATCAACAGAGGCCGTCTTGCCAGCAAGGGCCATGGCGATGCTGGATGTAGCTGTTTGAGGAGCCATGATTGTAGAGAGTAGTGATGGACACAAGAGAAAATGATCTAGTACTTCTGTGGTGGCTAAACCTGTTATCACATGAGTCAGAAGGCCGTCCACCAACCATAAGACGCAGGGGGGCAACAAGAACAATGGAAAGGGATGACTAAACGGGCAACTCGCAAATCGATGACCAAGAAACCAAGCACGAAAGAAGAGACCAGGAATCAATGAAGAGACAGATATGATCACTCACGTCACACTTAGGAGTCCAAGCAGGAGATGCAGGCACAGCGTGTGAGCTGGGCTGACTGTAGGAAGGTAAGGTAGTTTGTAAGGGAGATGCGAATACGACGCGCGGATATTGGATAGATCAAGGCACGCGACCGTTCAGACAAAGAAGACTCAACAAGCGCGATGCGAGTAGTTTGATGGTTCCTGGACGACTTTGCTTTTGGATGGTAGGTAGAAGGAAGAGAGATGTGAGGAGGAGGGGAGGAAGGAGGGGGGAAAAGTAAGTATGAGGACAGTATAATAATAGTTGCGATAATATCAGCAGGCGCAGTGAAGTGTGCCCGGAGTCCGTCAGCCGGCGTTGAGTGCGCGGGGGGATAGTCGTGTATTTGCTGTATTATGATTACAACAAGTCACCAATAATGAAAAGTGACGATCGCAGGCTAAGATGGAATGTATATGGACCTGGATACTAGTGAGGACTCGGGATGAGGGATTATTATTATTGTTATATCCTGTGCAGGACTTATCCGTACATACTTCGGCATAGTTACTGCCCCATAAGAGTCTCCATAGATAGTCCATATGGACTACAGGTCCATACGGACGCGAGCAGGTCCATGCCAACGATACTGGCGCGTGGCCTTAGTCATTGGCCAGCAGCCTAGAGCTTACTGAGTAAGTATGACTTATGATATGGCCCCGTCCAAAGTCAGAACAGCGCCGGGAGGATCCGGAGCCACTGTGGACTATCCAGATAAGAATGCTGTTACATTATTACTTACTCCGTACATCTAGACCTGGCACTGACAGTATGTATTTGGGGCTTGCCTTGAGCCCTTGACAGATCTAGGGAGAAAGTGGCGCCATAGCATTACAGAGTGGAAATGAATTGAGAATCGATGAGATCTGATCAATTTTCCCCCAGGTTCATGGTAGTTGTTGACTCCATTCTGCGAGCAAATCAATGGTTCCAATTGATCAATGATCAGACCATACAACTGTACTGGAGTATGATGTACTAGTCCATAGACGTGTAGATGTATCCAGACTGAAAACACACAGGTAAAGACCTCGCCGAGGAGGCAATCGGGCTGGAAGCCTGGAACATGGGAAGAGATAGCTACCCCTCAAGGATCGACAATTCGACAGGCATATCAAGAACCATTCCTCATGCCCGTGTATCTACGTCTCTGTCTGCACGTCAGACTTTGGCCATGAATTTCCACCCGGTTGCAGCGTTACCAGCGTATGTGCCTCTGGGGTCAAGGCGGCAGGGTGCAACCCTAGCAAGACGGGGGCGATAAGCGCCCATGATTAGGGCACGTGGGATCTTCACCACAGCACATGCATGTATGCTACACCCATGACTGGCTGCGCTTATCCTCCCCCTCTTTGATCAATTCAGACTGAATGTCTTGATCATTGGTGGTCAATTATTCTTTCGTCAACGTCAAGAGTCCCATCCTTCAGTGTCTGGGAGGTACCTAGTAGAAGTTGTAGAACTATGAAACCACCACGCCACCGGTATATCCTGCAAACAGGCGAGACTTAAGTTGTAGGTACTCGCCAAGTACTCCGTCCTTTATTCCGTAAGTAGTAGACCTAGTATGCCGATAATCCGGAGCCCAGACAGTGGGGGTTTACAGCAAACCCTTATCACTGGGCTAACAAATCCCTCGACACCTGAGACTTTGGAGCGTCTGTGCTCTTCAGTCTCAGGTGAACTTAGACCTATTCACTAAGCATAATACCCTAGTAAAACTGCCATTGACCTTCGGAGTACAGAAAACTCGAGAACTTGAGATACTTACGTGGTTGAGATACGTGGTGCGGGGGGGATTTCACCTCCATAATTATTGATCCAACTGCCAATTGCTACTCTGTAAAGTAATTCTGATTGCCTTGATCCGCCTACATATGCACATCTTTCACTGTGCCTTGTTTGATTTTACACTTAAACAGACCGGAGAGTACCTCGGCTCGCTTGTTTGGAAATCTCAGAGCGATATACTTGGCAGATCATCTACGGAATGACGCAACATCAGATCTTATTCTCTTCTCGGTGGGGACAGCGGAAGAAGATTCCCCTGCGACATTATTATTGACAGCAATATCTTTGAATCCTATTCCAAGAACCCCTTGTACCTTGTATTACGTACAAATTGATCAGCATGTCCGATGTAGATGCTGCCAACCTGCAACCCGCGCTCTTCTGTCGATGAGCATTTCCCTGATGGTATCCCGAGTTTCCTGGGCTATCAGAACATCTGAATACTCCAGCTTTAGCTTTGGAGAATTTCAAGGCACTTTATGTGCCAATGGCAGACTGGAATAGTGAGGACAGCGAGTGCTCGAATTCATTAAGCAGTGCCTCTCTACTAAAATAACTGCAGTCCTGATTGATCGGTGAAGCACGCCTAAACTGAGGTCACAAAGAGTAAATCTCTAGAATGACTGCATCGTCACTAAAGATACCAAGAAGCTTCGACATTTCTTAATTCCAGCAAGAAGAATTGGATTTATCTGAGCTGTCTCTCCTACTCAAGAAAGACGGGAGAGTGATCAAAGTGTCTTGTCGCATGGTAGATGAGAGGGAAAATAGATCACGTGACCAAGGCACATGACCGTAGATAAGCAACATCCGCACTCTCTTCCGATCTTATCGGCCTCACAACCGACAAATGTTCCCAACCCGCAATGCCTTCGGATCTCAACCTTCCTGTGCGGGGTTGCCATTTCCACCAGAGAATGCTCAAAATTCATTCGCTATTCCATTGCAATCTTCTAATTATGATTATAGCATTCACTTGCAGTGCCAACATTCTTTTGCATGCATCCACCCGACGGGCGATAGCTCGGAATCGAATCGGACATGGCCATGTGCTTTTCCCGCTCCATCCGCTTCATTCAACGATCTACTGAAATAAATTCTCTGGATCTACTTTTGAGCCACTATCATATTTCAAACGTACTCTAAATTGTAAGGCATCAACTCCTTTGGAGGAGCATAAATCACGCAAGCATCGCAATATCCGGCAACCAGAATTCATACTCAAATTGCAGGATTGCTGTCTAAGCTCAGGGATCGAGTGTCAACATGGCGAACACAGAAGCAGACAACTCGTATTCACCCATTCAGGAGGCAGGCCGAATCTTTTCATATCTCTGCGACCAAGCCGAACGACTCAGTTTACCGTCCCAGATCGTGGAAAAGAAGGATGCCGTGTTATTCTCATCTTCCCATGACGAGATCTACTATCCGATCCCATTCAAAGAAACAGAGACATTGGCCGCATTGAAGGGTGTCGAAGGCGTTGTCGCTGGCGCAATCGCCGACTTGCGATTTGGTGAACAGAAGCGCAATGTGAAGATCAACCTGGAGAAGGCGACAGCTTTCGGATGCCAGGCATACATGGCCAAAGTCGATGGACTTTCTAAACTGGATCCAGCTGTCAAGTCAAAACTGAAGGGTAGGTTGAGTTGAGCTTAAAGATATTCTTTTCCTGGAAACTGACCAGTTCAGACACCGACCTGCTTGCGGCCCAGTCGAATGGATACCGTCGGATGTCCGCCAACCTTTACAGAACGAAGAACAAGGGCGAATTCTTTCATATCCATGGCTCCCTTGAGGCGACCACGACGCTCAACATGATTGGACTGGAGGGTCACCGTCCCGATCTCACGGACTACGAAGAGATCATCAGGGTCATTGAGAGCCATGTGCAAAGGTACAGCGCTGCCGAGCTAGAAGAGATGAATAAGGAGAGGAGACAAGCTGGTGTCACGGCGTTCAAATACGAGGATTTCATCAATACTCCACATGTTCGTTCAGTCAATTTGTTCCGTCTCAGCTGGACGAGAAGCTGATTGTTCACAGGGTCGACTTAATGTGCAGGAACCCCCATGGAAGGTGAAGCGTCTCACCGGTGACTTGCCTCCGACTCCCTTCCCGGCCAGTCGCAGTGAAAGCAGAAAGATTCTAGAGGGCGTCAAGGTGCTGGAACTCTGCCGTATTATCGCGGGACCAACCGTTGCGCGAATCCTGACTGAGTACGGCGCAGACGTTTTGAAGATCACTAGCCCTAATCTTTCCGATGTCCCCTTTTTCCAGGTTGACGGTAACATGGGCAAGCATGCCGCGGATCTGGATCTGAAGACTAAGGAAGGACGTCGTCAGTTCGAGGAACTTTTGGCTGATGTGGATGTGCTTGTCGATGGCTATCGCCCAGGTGCGCTCGAGAAGTTGGGATACGGTCCAAACGCTCTCGCCTCGCTGGCGGAGAAGCGTGGCAAGGGCATCGTGTACGTCAATGAGAACTGCTTTGGCTACGAGGGAGAATGGGCCAGCCGTCCTGGTTGGCAGCAGATCGCAGATTGCGTAAGTCTTCACTCTAAACACCGTGGGCAACATGGGCCACAACTGACTCTTAGCAGGTGACTGGTGTCGCATGGGCTCAGGGGCAATTCATGGGCCTCTCAACTCCAGTGGTACCTCCTTTCCCCATCTCCGATTACGGCACAGGCTGCATGGGCGCCATTGCCGCCCTCACGGGTCTCTACCACCGTGCGAAGACCGGCGGATCCTACCACGGAATGGCCTCTCTGATGCATTATGACCTCTTGCTCTTTGCCGTGGGCAAGTATTCCGATGTTGTGCAGGAGAAGATGCGGGCTGCTCAACCGCCGGAGTTTTTCAAGCTTCGGCACTGCGACAGCGTGGATCGCATCTCCTCGACCGTCCTAAAGATCATGCAGGCGCGGTTTCCGCATCTCTATGTAGCTCCAGACAACGCGGCTGGACAGGAGGCGCTCACGGAGAAATGGTTCTCCAAGGCGTACAATGCCGACATTGAGGTTGTTCGACCTATCGCGGAGATCGACGGGGTGGATAACAGCTTCTCGCGCGCCAGTCGACCGAACGGCTCCGATCGACCTAGCTGGGAGGACTTCAAGCTGCCCGAGGAGGACTACAAGAAGGCTTAACGGTCAAGCATCATTGTACATACATGTATCAATCGAATCACACTCTAGATTAGGGTCTTAATGTGAGATAGCTACCTTCATATCACTCTAGTGCGACCAGATCGGCCATGTCCTTTCGTGACTCCGCAATCCGCATCCTCCGAGACAACCATATCGGAACGTCGGATACGGACATTGAGCATCGGCCCGAAACCTTTCAGAGGACGAGCAAGTATACCGCGGCAACTGACATCACAACATAGCTTAGAATCAAACACTGTCGATAAATCACTCTGATAATCACCTCCCACAGACCAAATAGACAAAACCCCCAGTCCAAACCCATCACCTCCTACCCCATCACAATCAAAATGTCCTACAAAATCACCGCCGACCCCACCCTCTCCCCACCCACCGCAACCGCCATGATCTCCTTCCTGGAATCCTTCTACCAAACCAGCGACACCGAATCCCAGCACTCGCAATACGTCGCCAGCTTCACCCCCGACGCAACACTAATCATGGGCCCCAAGGTCGCGAACGGAGCGGACGGTAAGCCCTCCCCCCACCCGGCACCCGGCACCCGCAAGTTCAGAATCACAAGTTCACAACCATGCTAATCTGGCGTGTAATGGACCAGAAATCCTGACCCTGCGCCACAGTCTCTGGACGCACGTGGCGTCGAGGAAACACTTTCCGCAGAAGATCTATTTCGGGGGCGAGAGGGAGCTCATGCTGTACGGGACTGTGAGGTATGTGCTTAAGGCGGAGCCGGGGAGGGAGGTTGAGGTTCCCTGGGCTGGGAGGGTGGTATTTGATGATGGGGAGGAGGCGGGGTTGAGGATGCGGTTTTATCAGGTTTATTTGGTAGGTTTTGGTTTTTGGTCTGGGTTTCGGGAGGGTAAGGTGAGGTGAAGCTGATGTGGTGGTTTAGGATACGGCTGCGCAGTCGGGGAAGAAGTGATTATTCTGGGTTAGTGGATGAGGAGTGTACTACGTAACCGGCAGTGGAACGTGAGAGTAATATCATATCCCGTTATTTTAGACGCAAGACAGGTTGTCTCTCTCTGTCTGTCTATTTACAGAGGAGACGTGCTTTCTCTCTGCTGGCCCATCGTGACAATCACAAACATTGTCGGAGTCGAATGGAGTAAAGAAGGGTAAAAAAAAAAGTTTCATTCCTCTCCCGCTGAATCCATAGTGTATCAATCCAACTCATCCATGTTGCCGACTTGTCTGTAACTTGACCGGTTTTCACTCAAAAGCCACCCAGAGTTCTTTTCCCTTCGTAACAACATGGGGAATTGTTCTTAGACAAGGAAAAAAACCAGAGGTTCAAGATGAAGACATCAGGGACTTTTTATTATTTTAGTAGGAGACTAGTTTACTCCTCGTCCTCCTCCTCCTCGTCGACGGTGGTCTTGGCAATCCGGTCAAGATCCCGCTGGCCGGCCTGGGTGATGCGGCGACCGCCCTTCTCCTCGTCGTACTCAAGGACACCGATCTTCTCAAGAGACTGGATGACCTTGCGGTCAACGGAGCCGGAGGCGTCGACGTGGTGGTTGGGGCGGGAGCCACGGTTCTTGGTCGAGCCGTGGACCTTGCGCAGGCGGCCAACACCGACGGTCTTGCGCATGTAGATGTGACGGGCAACGGCAGCGGCGCGGACGTAGTACCTGCAATTCATCAGCCGTCAGATGTGAGGTCGATCAATTTGAGATCAACGGGCGGAATATCGTACCAGTCGGCGTCCTGGGGAGGGAGCTCGTTGGAGCAAGAAGTCTTGACAGTGTCAACCCATCCTAATAACCATCAGTTTCAGATGCCCTGTGATATCCTTGTTGCGGAGGCCGGACGAACCAGGGATGGGGAGCTTGCCCTGACGCTTCAGGAAAGCAGAGTAGGCAGCGATGAACTTCTGCGCCTGTAGGTAGAAAAACAATCACTTGTCAGCACAGATCTCGCCCGTCACATGCATCTTCGTCCTTGTTTCCTGCTCTCTCCTGAATATATTGGCAACGGTGGTCCCAGCGGAATTTTCGTCATCATCTCCGTTCCCATGCTGTCGAGTGCGCGCTGTGTTGTGATCAATTCCTCCGACCGTATCTCAGTCCCATCGAGTTTCGACATTCTCGATCGCAGAATTTGTCGTGAATTCATATGCTCGGGCAAGCTGTTTATCAAGGAATTTCCCTTTCCCAGCATTCATATCCCGATTACCAGATTCCTCCTCTTCCCATTGCCAATAATCCATTGCGGCCTCTCCGCCAAGAGAGAAACAGGTGTCGCGGACTGCAGGGTATTGAATGGAGCAAACTTACGTCCACATCGCGAACGGTGACACCACCCATTTTTGCGACTTGTGACCTCGAAGGTGAACGGTGGGAGTTGAAGAGGAAGCCGGGGGGTGAGAGGGATGGGCGTCGTTGTCGTCGTTGGAGGGAGTCGGATCAGGTCAAACCTCAAAATTCGCACACACACAGAGACAGCCTTTCGCTGGGCCCGTTCTGTGTGGGCGCCTTCGCTTAGCCTATTCGGGCCTAGCCGTACCCTAACCGTCTACAGTCTGCTGCTGCCTTAGGCTATCAGGCATGCCCTGTGGGCCAATTAGCGGATCGGACTTGGCACTACATTTAGGTTACTACTACAACAAGATCTTGAATGGTCAAGGCCTTCAAGGCCAGCTAACTGAATTCATCTGCAATCATCGCCGGTTATTCCCCCGTCCATCAAAAAGGCCACCTGGGCTGCATCTGTTTCGGGGGTTCGGCCAGTCGATGCGAGTAGAGGACAAGTCTTAGCTACTCCGTACCGTTTAGACCTTTTCCCCAGTAGCGGCGGTTTCTGCATTATAAGTGCCGCCTTGAATTCCAGGGACTTACTCTCGTTGAGATAAATGATAGTGGGAAATCGCGCTTGTCCTCCCCATGGATCGAACTTGCTGGTCCAGCTGGCACAGGGTTTGGGGGGCACCGCACCTCATAGTCACCCAACGAGTCATCGTCTGTCTTCATGGCTTTTCGCCTCAAATCACGCTTTCCTATACCCAATACCCCAGAACGTTTACCTGAGAGGAGAGGACTTGAACGCTAGCTGAGGTATTGACAGATTGCCCGCTTCAGCAGTCGTAGCAAAGTGCACTGCCCAGATCGCGGGACTTATGAGGACTTGGTGTTTGGTCCAAAAGACCAATCATCTCTAGCGATCGAATCTCCAGATGACAAGCTCGCGGTTCGCATTTTCACCTATCACGAATTTCTCATTCCCGCAAATCTTTCCCTTACCCGCGAGTTCAAAAGCATCGTTGGGTTTTAAGACAATCCGAGAGGATGGCGTCTGTATGCTCAAATAAATCTTCGAATCAAAAGGCCAGCCCAAGGGAGACAGATGCAAGGCAAATCCTGCCTTTGAATCTTTATCATAAACCTCGGAAATGACAGTGTACCAAAACTGTTTGCAAAGCAGGCCAAGAGGCTTTGTCTGTAACCCATTGCTCCCGCGGTAAGGAGATAAGATGTAGTCAACGTCTCGCCTCCAGACGGGCCCATCGCCAATCAATGGAATGCTCGTGATCTGCACCTGAGACGTCCACTCCGTCGGCCCGACAAGTCGGTCAAGCGGTCCTGTGCACAAGTTCTCAATGATTTCTATGGCTTGGTCATCATGGGTTATTTCTAGGCCTTGCATGCCTGGTACTCCTCGTTGTCTGACGGAGAAGAACCCTAACTCTCTAAAACCGAAACGTGAGACAATGGAGGGGCCTGCATCCTGCTCTCCGCTCCGTTGACGCCCTGTAGGATCCAAAGAGGGCCTGTAGGGAGATGGCTTTGAAATGTCCCAGACAAACAGGGACTCGATTGGGGCGTCCTCATCGGCAGTGTACAAGCTGCGATTGGGTTGCCATATGTAGATCACATAGTGCGTCTTGTTGTGAGTGGAGTAGAACCGATCTCTTTCACTCAGAGGATGACCGAGGAACATGATCTTCCATTCATTGCGAAATGCGACGTTCCAGCAGCCATTGGGGCCTTTAGTCACGTCAAATGATGATGCAAAATGACGATGGACTCCGTCGCTGTCATTCAACCAGTGAAAGGCTTTTGGCTCAGCCCATTCCACTACAAGAACTCGTCTCTGCAAGCGAATTCTCCTCACCACCTTACCGATAATCAAGAACGGTACCATAACTTGTTTGCCGGTTTCCACATCCATGAGAACTAAAGAGGAATAATCTGCGCTAGGGTACACTAGCAGACCATCCTCGTAGGTCCAGAACGTTTCAGGATAGAGGTAATCAACGCGCTGCATGAGATGACTGGCATGGCTATCCCAGGGCTGTACCTGGAACCACTCTCTTTCTCCTGAGATTCCAAAGTCATCACAGAGCTTGAGCTTTTGGACCGACCTTGGCTTGCCCCGGCTGAGACGATCGTATCTAGAGGCGACCTTGTCAAACAGTGCGCGCCAATGTTGATCATTCTGAACCGTTGAGAGTAGTTCGTCCAATGACTGTTCCCCTTTCAACGCCCGAACCTCTGGGGCTCGGGGAAACAGTCTGATCAATAGGCGAACCAGATAATCTGGGTTGGTAAATGCTTCGTTCCAATACCTCGAAACTCGACGGCATCGTACAATATCCCTGGAATCAAGATACTGCAACACCATCCAGAAGACTTCCAATGGCATGAGTGACAAGTCCACTGTCTCTAATCCCCGTGGAGACTCCAACGTGGCCCTTGTTTCCGCCATTGTTAAAGTGTGGGGGATAGCAGAGTATCTGAGAACAATTAGAAATCATCACTCAGAAAATTGACGATGAGAGATTGTCTATAGTAGTATCCACAAAGGTGCGAGCATGCTAGTCAATTAAAAGACTAAATAGACAAGGTTGTAGCCGAATGAGCCGCTGGCGTCTGGGGAAAGCTGGAGATGGTTGCATGATTTGTTTGCATCATGGCAGAGTTGTTTTGCACTGTTGATTTCCGCCGTCACATGCCAAGAGCTTCAGGACACCTTGCTTCAACACCCCAGACAGACAGCTCTAAATACGACTGCTGTCCACGCTGACAATCATGATACTCGTCTGATGTGCTTTGCTACCATCTAGTCACTAATCAACCCGAGTTTCAAGCACAGAGATTCCTTCATTATGATGCAGCCAAGCTCTGCACTTCTGCTCGTCGCATCGCTTTTGGCGGTTTTGCCCGTCAACGCAGATGGGCTGTACACTAAAAAGTCTCCTGTGCTGCAGGTTACTCACAAGACCTATGACCAGCTGATTGCTAACTCTAATTACACATCGGTAAGACAGCTTTCGAAGTGTATTGTGTCGTAAGGTGTCTGTATAGCTAACGCTTCTCCCAGATCGTAGAGTAAGCTCCCCCCACCCTCCCGATTAGTCTCATTGACAAGCTTCTAAAACGTATTGCGCACTACTCTAGATTCTATGCTCCTTGGTGTGGCCATTGCAAGAACCTTAAGCCTGCATACGAGAAGGCAGCCAAGAACCTGGAGGGACTGGCCAAGGTAGCGGCTGTGAACTGCGATGACGATGCCAACAAGCCCCTTTGTGGTCGGATGGGCGTACAAGGTTTTCCAACTTTGAAGATCGTCACACCTTCCAAGAAGCCCGGCAAGCCAAGAGTGGAGGATTATCAGGGGGCAAGAAGCGCAAAGGCGATCGTCGATGCTGTTGTGGACAGGATCCCGAATCATGTGAAGAAGGTCACGGACAAGGATCTGGACCAGTGGCTTTCCGAGGACAAGGAAGCTCCCAAGGCTATCCTGTTCACTGAGAAAGGTACCACAAGTGCCCTCCTCAAAGCTGTCGCCATTGAGTTCCTCGGTTCCATCAAGGTCGGCCAGATCCGCAACAAGGAATCCAACGCCGTGGAGAAATTTGGCGTCCAGGAATTTCCTACCCTCGTCCTGGTCCCCGGCGGTGACAAGGAACCCATCATCTACGATGGCGAACTCAAGAAGCAAGCCATCGTCGAGTTCCTCAGCCAAGTCGCAGCTCCAAACCCTGACCCTACCCCCGCCTCAACCGAGGCCAAATCCTCCAAGTCCACCAAGTCGTCCAAACCCAAAACACCCAAAACCTCCACTATCCTCAACGAAGAAGCAGAAAACTTGAAACCGACCGAGTCCCCCGACCCCAAGATCGTCCCCGACGACGCCACGGAGTCAAAGCCCGCCCAGGTCCCGATTCAGGTACCACCCATCGCCATACTCCCCACCGCAGAGACACTCGAGGCCGCCTGCCTGCAGCCTACATCCGGTACTTGCGTCCTAGCACTCCTCCCCGAACCCAGCGAAGCGGACGCAGAAGTCCCCAGTCCCGCGAAAGAGGCGCTGGCCAGTCTATCAGAGATCGCGCACAAGCACGCCCAGCGCAAGAGCAAGCTTTTCCCGTTCTACAGTGTCCCTGCTATCAACAGCGGGGCCAAGACTCTGCGGGCTGGGCTGGGATTGTCCGAGGACCAGACCTCGGTTGAGATCATCGCTCTGAATGGACGCAGGGGCTGGTGGAGGCGCTATGACGCGTCGGAGAGTAAGGATTATGGCGCCGTGTCTGTGGAGGCGTGGATCGACGCCATAAGACTGGGTGAGGGGTCGAAGAGCAAGTTGCCAGAGGGTGTTATTGTCGAGCAGAAGGAAGAGGCTGAGAAAGAGACGGCCGACCATGATGAGTTGTAAATCTACCCGACGCTCCTCCTATGTAAATCTCCCGATAGTTCTATGTATCCTCAAGCAAAAAGGCGTTTTGACAAGGATGAGAGAATGCGAACCTCTATTCAAACTTTTTTCGGATATACAAGGCATATATACAGAAACGTAAAAACCTCTTCACAAGAGAAGAATTCCTGGAACTACCGTAACACCGTTCTTTCATGCAAGACTGGAATGATTCAGGTGAATACTTCATGCCTTCTTTCGCCCTTCTGTTCCCTTCTTGATGATCTTCTGTCTTTTCGACTCGATCTCCTGGTCATAGATCTCTCGCGCGGTCTCTCCCTTCTTCCGCTTGTTGGCTTTCGAGGACTTGACGCTGACGGTTGAGGCGCCTCCGCCGCGGATCTGCTTCTCCGCTTCCTCCCAAGCGGCACTGCCGTTATCGATCTCGTATCTGGAGGCTATAAATCAGTTATTGTTCATTCGACGACGGGTCCGCGGGGGTGTTCTAAGATTTGACTCACTTGTCCAGAGGCAGAGCATCAATCAGGGCTCTCTGCTTCTCCCTCAGCTCGTCGTCTACCTGCTGTCCGCCCTCTCGCAGCTCATCTTCCAGACCTGTGTCCAGGGGCTTGAACCGCTCGTCGACGACCTCGTCGTGCGCATCGGCCGAGGTCTGAGCAACGGGCACCTTCTCGGCGGGGAGGGTTTCCGCGACGGCGCCCTCGACCAAGCCGCGGAAGTGAGTTGACATCTTGCGAACGATCTTGAGGAACATGGCCAGAAGCTGCGACGAGGGCAGGTTCAGTTCCTTCTCGACGTCGTCGAGGTTCTTGCGCTGTAAGCCGATGGCAAGCAGGATGGACTGTTGGACGCCGGAGAGGCTGACCTTGCCGCTCAGGCGGCCAGAGAAGTAATACTCTGCAATGCTGGGAACCATATCGAGGATGACGTGGTAGTCAAGCAGATTGTTTGCGTAGCTGTCAAGGCGCTTGAGGTCGAAGGGGGAGAAGGCCGCGTCGAGATCGCTCTTCTTGAGCAAAGATGGGGTGTAAGAGGTGTCGAGCTTAGCGCCTGCAGTGGCGGATTCGCAGATGCTGAGGGAGAGAACCGAGGGGAATTCTCGGAATTGGTAAGAGAGCAAGGCTAGGAAGCGCTTGTGGAAGTCCCGAGCAAAAGCTCCGAGCCAGCTAGCGTCGCTGGCTGCGGAGGCGAGTGTGCGCAGCATCACACAGGAATGTTCACCGGTCAAATCGTTTGGAGTCTGGCGAAGGTAGACAGGCACGAATGAAGAGCGTTTCCAGAATTTGTGAAGAGGTGGTGTCAACCCGTAACTGACGCCGACGTAATCCAGTGCGTCTGGACGACGCTCGGAGAGCTTGCCAAACAGAGGAGGCATCGAGCGGATGTCCCGAACTTGAATGTTGTCATCAAGGAGAGACGAGTGGGCGAGCTCTTCGTCAGTGACCCTGACCATCTCTTCCTGCGCGTCAGGAATGCTCTCGGAGAGATCCGTAAACTTGCCCTCGTAGAAGTCAATCAGTAGCTCCAGAGCGCGGGATCCGTAACCCATGTTCATATATTCTGGGTTGGTTGCAATGCGCACAATTCGGGCGCCTGAGAGACCGGCAAAGTCCTCATCCTGGTACTGCTGGCTGACAAGCCATGGGATCAAGTCACCACCTGCCCGTTGGCCGCGGCTCAAGCTGTTCAGAACACTTTGTCTGCTGATACGACCCTCCAGAGCAACTTGAATAACGCAAAGAGGCTCTGGGAGCTTGGTAGCCTCCTCGTCGATGGGAGGTACCAGCACGAAGAGCTGATGCGCAGGCGCATCGCTCATCAGTTGGAGATCGTTAGGAGTGTTCTTGTAGTGACTGGCAACGTACAGAGCCATCATCTGCTGCAAGAATTTTTCAGAGACGGGGTGGAAAGAGAATAATGTGTCTCGGTTGACTTGCAGGAGTTGGCATTGTGACGGGTGTGGGCAGCCCTGTGTGTTGATCCTAGACTTTGGCAGCGTCGCATCCAGGCACAGGACTTTGTTTAGCCACTTCTCCACTGAATCCCCAGGTGCGTAACGGATGGGTTCCGACAAAGTAATCTCTCTGAGCGAGCGTCCACCCATGCTCTTCTCTGCGCTCTTGGAAGCCTTGCCAGTGGCCCTATCAGCGACATCTGTATCGTCGTGACCGCTGGCCTTCAGACCTCCCCTGGACTGCTCACGAAGCTGCTGGATCAGCTTCAGAGAGAGCGACCGACCTGTACCTTCGTAACCATTGATAGTGGAGGCCATGAATACCAGGTATGGGCCCATCAGTTTGCGCACCAGGGGCAGGGGGATTGCTGCCGCCTCATCAATGACTAGAAGCTCGGCCTGGCCGAGAACATGAGCATCCTGGGGCTGAATGTATTGAATGGTCTGGCGATGCTGGCGATGAATGTTGACTCTCACAATGGCCTTGTTGAAGTCCGGATTGGTGGATTGAAGGATGGTATAATCAACGTGATCGAGGTATCCAAGAGCATCAAAACCTTTGAAAATGAATTCGAACAGTGTCTTCAAGTTCTCCGGGCTGGGGGAGGTGATGAAAATGTTACTGTATCCATGAGCAACCGCTGCCGCGATGGCCACACCAAGAGCCGCCGACTTTCCCCGACCTCTAGCAGCGGTCAATGTGACGGTGCTGCGGAGGGTCTTCTCGGCGATCACGTCGACAAAGGTCAAGAGCGCCTTCGCCTGGTCAACGGTGCGAGCTAGACTGATCAAAGATCCCACCGGCTGAGTCTCTGCTAAGCTATCCTTAATCTCTTTCAACTCCTTCTTTGTGCCTGTGTTGTCGTCAAGGGACTCTGGCGGTGGAAGAGGCTTCACGTTCTTCCCTCCAGAGATTGGAAGGACATTCAACTCATCGTCAACCACCAAGCATGAATCACAGCTGCCAAGAGAGAGGATGAAGCGCTCGTTGAAGCGGGCGACCACATCATCATGCGCTTCGGTCCTATATCTCGAATGAATATCCATAGATAACGTGTAGAGCTGCTTCAAGCTGTTCATTCCCTTCAGCAGAAGCAACACGATACCACCGCCTTCCACGGTCTCGATGGTACGCGCAAGCAGGTTTGGTGTGATAGCTTCGAAATCTTGAAGAATGCACATTCCGTACGTATTACCCAAAATCTTCTCCGTCTCCTTGTAGTACACATATCTGATCTGGTTGAGAGTGATGAACAGCTCGAAAGGATCCTCCTGGTTAGGTTCTCTGATACCTCGCTTGACTTCCTTCTTGATTTTCGCCTCGCGCTTCTTCCGATGACTTGTGAATCCGAGGAGGTCTTTCTTGTATGCCCAGAGGACCGACTTATTCTGCTTGACATCGACGCTGGACATAATGTAATGCAGGTTGACAATCACATCCTTGGCGCGGTCGCCGACCACCACAAAAAAGCTTCTTTTCTTCTCCTGGACATTATTCCGAATGAGCGCGGGGATGCGCGAATCAATTGCCTTGCGTGGCATTTTGATCTAGTCTCTCTTGCGTAGGGTCAACCACTGGGGGTGATGCTCACAACGGAGCAGCGAGATTCTGTCGACTCTGCCGTGTGCAAGATTGTCGGTAGCAAGGCCGAGGTTGTTAGAAGCAGACAAGGCAAAAATGAAACCCATAAAAAAGAGGTTGCAGAGAACAATCAAAGCTATCACCGTATTCTCAGTCCAAACTGATTAGAGGAAAAAAAAATTGTTATCAGCAACGACGATCTGCCCTTGCCTACCGCTTGCCATAAAAGCTACCGCCCAGGGGAGAAGGTAGACACGTGCATCGACTTTAGCCAGAAGACCGCGCTTTCCCTAAAACAGAATAGTCTATAAGGTAGGGACTAACTGGATCCGGCGGCCCAGGTTTACTTTTGACACTATTCCTGTTGAGGTAGGCCTCATGTTGTCGGCTTCTCTCAGGTACAGAGTACAGCAATGACACCCACGGCTCGTGACAGAATCCATCCATCAAGCATCATCCATAGCCTGTATCTCTTATGGAAGATTCAGGGACTTTCTGTCACTATTCCAAGTTCCCAAGGTCAGCTACAATTCCTTGCGAATGATTGGACCCTGCGCTAGCACGGATAAGACTGACCAAGTTTGGCCAAGAAATGACCATCATCAGTGTCATCAAATGCGCCAAATTCGTGGTTATTTCCTCTCTGAATTGGTGGACTTGCCGATCATCAAAATTCAATCATCAAACAAGTACAACAAGTCAACAACGCACGGTCAATCAGAGATTACGACCCTGGCAAACCGTGGAGTAGTCTAGCTACCAGCAAATGCAATCAATGCCTCGTTGGTTATCGCAATATTAATCAGAAATGCTCCGCAGCAAAGTTCCTTCAACGTCCCACTATCTGTCGCGGGCGCGCCCCCCCATGGGTCCAGATTGACTCGTTGACGCAACCCTTTCATTAATACATATCCCCCTGGTCTAGCCTCATTTGCTTCTTTTTTCTTCACCCCATCCTCTGTTCGTGCTGATAACAGCTCAATCTCACCGTTGCTATCTACATTCTCCTCGTTTTGAGGTCGTTGCTTTTAGACTTAATTGTGTCCTGTCGCATGTCGCCTTACTGAGCACTGGAATTATCCTCATTCTGCCCGGCTCTGAACCTCCTCAAGACACGAGTATTCCAGTCGCATTCGTCCTAAGCTATCCAATTATTTCGAATTTCTTGCAGTACCAATTGCAATGAGCGCTTTCACATAAATAATTGGCAATGGCTCCATAGCGGCTTGTCTGGCTATCAACAAGCAGGATCCTTCAATATGATTCAGCTCTCCGCTGAGATGGGGCTCAAAGCCTCACTGGGGTAGGGAGATCTCAGCAGGATGTCTTATTTCACTTACTGGCCCTGACTGAGTCCAACAGGATATTTCTTTTGACTTGCATGCTTTTAACGACTTCCTATACGACGACATTCGCTTTTGGTAAGCGCAGTCACATTCTCTTGACCAAGACAGCGCGGGCTTTAAGCGGATAGCTGGTGCTCACCAACCGTTTTCACAGACCGGCCCCACCATACGCTCATCTTTGCGTCCTTTCTCTCGGGTGTATCGCTCCTGATTTTAAGCAGATTCGATACCACTATTCCACGCATATCCCAACCTCAGCACAAATACACTGCCATCCCTCTTGGCGAACGCGTTGATCGGCCATCAATAGACGCGCCTTTCTCGTTAAGCAGTCCGATCAGTGATTCCTTCCTTACAAAATCAGGTAGTCGCAAGTGGTGGACCAAGATTGCCTTGCTATCGGTGCTTGGCTGGATAAGGATAGAGCTGTATCGCCAGGTGACCGTCAAGATTGAGTGCGCGCCAGCCGGATACGCAGTAAGTGGGCTTTGAAAAGACAAACGCAGCGGCGCCTTTTGACCGAGTATTACGATTCCCTTAGTATGCGATACCATTCCTCGTTTCACTATACGATTATTGGCGCAACCAACGATCTCGTGCAATTCCAGAATGCTCGGATACTGATTCAGGAATCTCGCTCAATGCGCGAATTCGCAAACTAGTCAACATTGCCAGACGTCTACACGCCATTTTTTGCCTGAGTCACATGCGATACCTTATATCAGCTGCTTTTCTCATGATTGGCGGATTGGTGGCATCGGAGTTTCAAGAAGGCATACAGTCGACTTATATCTGTCCGATTAGTTCGGGCCAATACTCCCTACTGCGGTTCATCAGGATTTTGAGTGTCTTGCTTGACTCGCTATTCTTGATTAGTGTGAGCGAACTGTTTAGGGAAAGCACCCGGCCTCGAGAAGGCAGAAATAAACATTTCCTGGTTTCTTGCGGTTATGGCCTAATTGTAAGTGTACCAAGAGCCCAATACTTTGTGCTGACCACCAGATGGAGCTTTGGTCTAATGCAAGTCCGTAGGGAGTTGCTGCCTTTTGGACCGTGATCGCAATCATTCTCGCTATTCGGGCCAGAGGTCAGAATGACGGCTTTGTCATCTCTCATTACTTACGAAGCGCATTCAATCAAGGTCTGCTGATGACGCTCCTTGTGCTTTCCGCTTCTCAGCTTGTAAGTCACGGTATGATTGTATCTCTTTGAATCCTGCTGAACAGAACTAGATAGCAATATACGACATAATTGGAATTTCCATTCTGGCCGGGTTCGTTGTCGGTTGCTTCTCGCTGACCGCTACACTGTTCGATGGACAAGAGCCCTTTCCCTTGATCTATTCGTCACATGCTTTCGCCTCCCTACTTGCTACCTTTCTTGGGGGTGTGTTGTATTTGTGTGGGCGTACGGCATCCAATGAAGAACCACCTTTCTTATACAGAGCAAACATTGTGATGCGAGTGTGCTTCTCGGCACTATTCGGCATTGGCATCATCCTGGTCGCCAGTCAGCCAGTGGTGACAAACCTCCATACGATTGAGCTGTTGATATATGATAGCATAAAACATCACGCCACATGGTCTTCTCAGGCGAAAAGCAGCCAGAGTCTTGCCGATGCTGTTGCGAACTATCGGAAACGATATAATCAGCATCCCCCACCGTGAGCCGCCCATTAGCCTAAATTGATATGAGATTGCGCGCTCGACTGACTGTAACATAGGGGCTTTGATAAATGGTACGAATACGCCACCAGTAGGTCTTCCGTCGTGATCGATGACTTTGATCAAATTCATATGGACCTTCTCCCGTTCCGTGCATTGTCTCCTGGGAGGATCCGGGACTTGACGCGTGATTTGGCCACCAACCCGTTCAACGACATTGGAGCGATCAGCATTAGAAATGGCACACCCAGAGTACAGGAGGGGATCAAACCAACTCATGCGTGGATGGTTCAGGGTGCTGCGAAAATGATTGAGAACTTCTCTCAATATTTACCCGACATGGATCTGGCTTTCAACCTAAACGACGAACCACGCGTGGCCGTGCCCTGGGAGGAGGCATCCAAGTTGGAAACGGAAGCAAGAGCCCATGGCCCGGCTCCCGATGATAGCGTACTGACCGTATGGTCGGCAGACCGTGGCATGGAGTGGGCTCCTATAGAGCCAGCCGATCAAACGGATGAGACAGTTTTTACAGAAAGCTCCATGCAACCTATTTTCAACCGGTATGTCAGCCCGCTGTGTCCTCCGTCGTCGAAAGCTCGGTCTCAACGAATCTGGGACCGGCGTCACATTTGCCTGGACTGTGTGCGGCCGCATTCGATGGGTCAATTTCCCTTAGATGCGAACAGCATGACCGACATATGCCATCAACCAGACCTCGCTTCGCTTCACGGATTTTTCATTTCTCCTGCATCCTTCAAAGTGTCCCGAGAGTTGACGCCTGTTTTCAGCCAGAGCAAGGTGTCTGGATTCAATGATATTTTGTTTCCTAGCCCGTGGAACTATATGGATAAGATCAAGTACGAGCCATCTGATGAGTATCCTGACCAGGAGTACGTGAAGAAGGAGAACACCCTTTTCTGGATTGGCAGCACATCCGAGGGAATGAGCCGGTCAGGGGAATGGAAAGGAATGCCTCGCCAGCGCTTTGCGCACCTCGTCAACAACAATACGCTGAGTCATGTATCGGTCTTGCTGCCTGTTGAAGGTACCGATAGCTATAAGTATCAGGTCCTGGACGGCTCAGCTCCGACAAATCTCCTCGGATTGAACGCCACTGTCCACATCCTGGATCCTGTTCGATGCGGCTTGGATTGCGCCGCGCAGAGGAAAGAGTTGGGCACCACGTCCACGGTAGATTTCCAGGCCCACTGGAAGTATCGGTATCTGTTTGACCTAGACGGCGCGGGCTTCAGTGGTCGATTCCTTCCGTTTTTACAAAGTCACAGTCTGCCCTTCAAGACTGGCTTGTTTCGACAGTGGTTAGACCGGCGGGTTACTCCCTGGCTACACTATGTTCCTGTTGATGTTCGTCTGCACGGAGTTTGGAGCACCCTGGCCTACTTTGCGGGAGTCGACGTGCCAGTCCCCGGAGACCCCAACGGTCAGCGCAAAGTCTTGATGCAGCGACATGATGATCGGGGCAAGTATATTGCCGAAGAGGGACGCAAGTGGGCCGAGAAAGCCCTGCGGAAGGAGGACATGGAGATCTACTTCTTCCGCCTTCTGTTAGAGTGGGGGCGACTGACGGATGACAACCGAGATATGCTTGGATTTAAGATATGAATATGACCAGCCTCTAATGTTTTGATTTGAATCATGATTGGCATAGCTAATGTGTAAATAATGTCAGTGCTACAAGATAAAATAGCTCAATAGATATGAATACTTGAATAGCCCCTTGCCTATCCAATCGCAAATGTACGTAGATACAGAGATGGGCACATGTACATCACCTCCAAGCTATAGAATATAGACAAACGGGTATACTCAGATCACAAACATCCATAACGTCCTCGACAGCAACCTTAAATGCCACGACCACGCTCACCATGCCGAGCAAAATGGCGCGCCGTGCGATCCTGCAAGGGCAATTGCGCCTCCACGTGCAACTCCAGCTGCTCAGACGCATTCACCCTAACCGCACCAGCAGCAGCAGCAGCCTGATACACCTTCAGCGAATTGATGCGCCAGTACGCATCCGCTAACGCAGCGGGGTTATTGGCGACATAATCCTGGCAGGACGCCGCCACGGAGGCACAGCTCCCGGAGCCCCAGACATTGGCGGCCCAGTCGCCGCAAAACGTCGTATCGAACACCTTTTGACGATCAGCCTCTCACTGCAAACCTGGTGGTGAATGGGGAAAAAAAAAAGGAAAGGAAAGAGGGGGGGGAATACAATCTGCAACCCGCTGAAATGCGCATCGATATCACAGCTCCCCGCAAACCTGGCCAGGGGCGTCCCCCAGCTGGCCGGGGTGGGCGCACCGGCGCTGATATCGGAGGGGATGGCTCCGCGCGCGAAGAACCAGATACCGATTCCGTCGGATGTCCACTCGGTCGCGTAGACGCCTCCGCCCGCGGCGTTGAACCCCGTCCCGTAGGTCTGCGCCGAGGAGGCGGCGATGCCGCAGCCCGCGTTGGCGGACTGGCCGGGGGCGTTGTTGTAGCAGTTGCTCGTCAGCAGGGTGCCGGTGAAGCCGGAGTTGGCGATTGAGCAGCCGTCCGAGGTGTGCAGGGTCATCTGGTTGGTGGCTTGGGTGTTGACTCCCTCGATAATATCGATTTCGCCATTGTTGGGCCAGTTGGGGCCGAGCATCCAGCTTTTGCGCACTTTAGCTTTTGGGTTCATGCGTATACGGTGGGGGGGGGGAATAGGGGGGATGTTACAAGGCAGGCCAGGTCCCGCAGATACCGCCTGGCATATGCGCCAGGTCTACGATTACGAGGCCGTGCGTGTAGCTCTTCGTGCTGGTGATGCGGACGCTCTGCCGGCCGCTGCTGGCGATGTTGGTATGGTCTACGCCCAGGTAGACGGTGCCATCGGCGGCGATCAGTCCCGCGTTCTGCGCGGTGGTGCGGTCGACGTACGAGACGAAGCCGTGGGTTGGGTCGGTGTCTGTGAAGAAAGAGAACTTGTCGAAGAAGGAGGCCGAGGTGCCGTAGTCGTCTTCGAGGACGTAGGCGGCCATGCCGGTAGCCGAGAGGCCCAGGATGGGGAGGAGAGTCGACCAGACGTGCATCTCGTCTTAATTCAGCTGTCCAGCAGGAATGAAAGGAGTGTTCGGTCTGGTCAAGGAATCTGGTCACAGTAGAGAAAGGAGCGACAGCACAAGGCTAAATAGAAGGAATGTGGTGATCCAACAGCGAGGGAAAGGGAGTTCTAATTCCCGCCCAGATCCATCTGCATATATACATGCAATGCATGTCAGTCAGAGCAGAAGCAGATCGTAACGAAGCTCAAGCACTAATGCAATAATCCAATGTGGCGCTCCGCCATGAAGACCATGATGTATCCACCCGACCAGGCCTTGAGACCCGGTGCAGAGTCAGGATCAGAAGTATCCGGAGACATGTGGACATGAGGACTAGGAGCGAGACATTCCGAGTCAGTCATCTCATCAACAAAAGACTGTGAAATAGGGGGAATCGGGGGATGTGAGAACCGCTACTCAGCCCGAACCGCGAACCGCCCTCTTGTCAGAAGACTCGAATATCGATCCCAGCATCTGAGTGGACGGAAACAGCAGACGCTGAATTAAAGTGAAACAGGCTTTCATCAATCACATTCTAAGCTTTGTTAGTCTGAATGCAACCAAGCAGGATCAACAAGACCAGAGAAGGGCGTCGATTGGATGGGAATGATCGATGTTGCCATGTTGTTGATCACTCGACTCGTCACGTCGGAGAGAGAACAACACGTGGATGGATGGATTCGTCATGTAGGTTAATTTGATAATAAAGAACTTACTCGATACTGATCTTTCTTGCAAATTCTCGTCTCTGTGAAATCGATATGGGAATAGAGGATAATTATCTGCTGACTGCGATTCATCATGGTCCTCTCGCACGAAGCACGATGCCGCGTCGCAGTGGCGTCAGCATACCATGCAACTATCGATATGTTCCTGCATTTCAGTTGCATTCACAATCCTGGACTGCCGATGCTACAGTGACTGCCGATGTTACAGTAAGAACCGGCCCTCAGGGTTTCCAGATTATGATATTAGCGTCCCCGGAAAAGTGCTGAGTCCTTGAGTGGGATAGCCTTGAGAATGCCTTATGGGGACAAAGGCGGCTTGATGCATATCACATCATAGAGAGATATAATTATAAGAATGCTGACTAGATGGCATCCAAGTCCTATCTATGTACAAGCCGGACATGATAACTCCAACCCTGTCCCGTCCGGCGCAAAATGTGCAGAGTTTCGCTTACTCGCCCGTCCAGCCTGAGCCCTTTCCACCAGACACCGTTGGTGGTACAAATGCCGACAGGAAAATACAACGGCGGGCCCGATTGGCTGTTCTTCGGCATTGCGGAAAGCCTCATCGGTTTCAGGCGCTCCAACAGCTTCGTGATGTTGTTGGTGGCCATGTTCCCCATGCCCGTTATAGTGCAGCGACGGACCAGCGACTGCGCCCACGGCAGCAGCCTTTCCCTTCCCCCGGGCGGTTGCAGGATCAAATCTGCCTTCCAGTCGCTTGATCGCCCGCCGCTGCTGTTCCTCCTCCTGTCTTTTCTCCCACGCTTCCCAGTACTGTGACCCGACCCCTGGACCCCAGATGCGTTGCCGGCAGATCTCGCACACTTGCCCCCGTGGCCGCCATCCCCGTTGACGCAATCGCGTGACCTCCTCCACATGCACAAAGAGGTCTCGATCGAGCATGCCATTTGCCAGAGCCAGCAGCGACTTTTCATACGTGTAGGCGGAGAAGATCGACGCCAGGACCGCACGCAGCTCAAGAAGCGACGGTGACCAGCTAACGGCTCGAGTCAGAAATGCACGTAGGATGCGGAGAAAGGCTACATCGGTGCGCTCGGCGGTAGTGGCCGCTCCGCCTACCCTGACAGTACTGGAGAGAAGAGCAGTAAATGCCTGTTGAACCAAGGTGCGGACGAACGACATGAGTTGAGCGGTATTGTTGCCCAGCGAAGAAATCACAGGAGCCACCTCGGTCAGCTTGTCGTCGACAGCCTGCTGTCCCCGCATCAGAGCAAATACACTGCTCGCGATGCGAACCACTGCCTCAATGAGATCCAGCCACAGGGTCTCGTTGAACGACAGAGGCTGGTCTAACGCAACCCTGCTGCCAGTGCCGTTCCTCTCCGGTCGCGACTTTTTGGTTGTCTGGCTTTGGCTTTGGCACAACCAGGTACCAACGTGCGCGTACTTGTCCAAGGATTCAAGGAGATCAGTAATCGCTTCCGCCGTACTGGCAGAGTCAGGACTCTCTTGCACACTCTGCAAGATTCCCACCAGACCCGATTCAAGTGCACCCAAGTGAGCGATGAGCCGGTCCATTGCAGCTCGTGCCTGGCCTTGCCTCACGAGCAGAATGACAGCCGCATCGACCACCCCGGTCTCTTCCATGGCAGGCAGCAACTCCTCCAGCCGTACATCGCCCGTTTGCAAGTCATCCACAAAGTCAGCAACGTGCGAGGGATTGTACCTGCAGAGCAGCTGCACATATCGCTCAATCATCCAGTTTGCAACGTTTCTGGGGGGCCCAGCTTCCGCAGCATCCCGCGTCGGGGCTTCCACGACAATGCGCAGATACTGATATTGCTTGTAACTGTCGTCCTCCAGAGCTTTGAGGAATGTTTCATGCGTTTCGGGGGCGAATTCCTGCATTGTCTGCGCCGCTTTTTTCACATCAATGCCGGCCAATTGCACAGCACGGTTCTTGATCACATCAATGACATCCCGTCTTTGTTTTTTGCCCAGTATGGAGCCGGGACGGAGGCAGTCTTGCAGACAAGTAAAGACCGCTTCCTGGTCGCTGGGGTCCTCAAGATAAGTGAGTATCAACTCGGAGAATTGTCTCTCGGAGCGATACGTGGATTTCAAGATTCGGTAGAAGCGAGCTTCCCGAAAAAGCGGGATCATGTTCTGGACATCCGGAGGATGGTAAACAGACAATAGGTATTCCGCACTGAGCTCACAGTCGTCCGCCATCTCCTCACTTGGGTAGCGACATAGTCGCTCCAATACCTGGTGAAGGGTCGTGCCAGACAACAGGATATATTGAGGGTATTTGGGCAGGTTGCGCGCAACGAACATGTCGAGGTAGATGGTGTCTGAGGCATCGAAAGAAGGAGGTGTCAAAACCTGGAACAGGATGCTGATCAAGTATTGACGGTTGATCGAAAGTCCTTGCGAGGGGATCTCATCGGGCTCCTGGTCGTTCAGGAAACTATCCTCAAACGCCTCGTTCAACATGCTCATAAAACTAGACGTGTCAAACTTCAACATGGCATGCAAACTCGGAAACGTTCCGTTCGCTTGAGACGAGAATCCAAACTCTGTGCCTGGTTGGTTCCCTGAGAAGAGATAGTCGTACAATGCTGTCTTGGCTCTTGTGGCCTCGGCATTGTCCATCTCTTCGCCAGTCGGATAGATGCGGCCAGTGAGCACGAATGAGAGATATGGAAACATCTTTGTAGCGTTCGCATGTCGTTTGAGCAAGTCCATCGAATCCCCGTTTACCAAGGGTCCCGCCTGCGACGGAATGAGTGCAATAAGTTCCTCCAGCGGGCCCACGTAGTCGGCAAGGCAGCGGTTCCATACATATATAAAAGCGTCGTATAAATTATAGTGCTTGCACAGAGTTGTGACCTGGTCAATGTCCATCGTGGTGGTATCAAGCAGGCAGATGATCTCTTCCAATCGACTGGTCGAATGATTTGTGCTGAAGTGGTTGATCAAAGCCTTGACAGCAGTTGGAGGTAAGGAGCGCACTGCTCCGTCCACAATATAAGGCTCAAGAGCATCGAGGAAGACACCTTGCGAATCATGATCCTCGTACCAGTTGAAGACCTCGTCCCAGAGAAAGTCCTCCTCCGCCATACTAACACAGGCGGATATCGAAACCTCGGCCAGTTCCTCGAGCTGACGGCTTTCGAGGCGCTCATTGTTCGCTGCTGTGTTGCGGCCAAAAGCAAACTTCAACGACGCCGATACGATCTCCAACAGCTTTTCGCGAACGATAGGCTGTCTCAACGCATCCTCTTCCGGCAGCCCTACGGTCAGTTTCTCCGCACTACCCTTATAGTATGATGTCGCTAGTTGGATGGCACCGATAAAATCACCGGCCTCCATGAGTGCAAAGAGCCGATCTGCCCAGTTGGAAAGACCTCCGACCAGTGCTTCATTGAAGCCCATCAAGAAGAGACGTCCTTTGTACGAGCGGAAACTCATGTAAAAAGCATCAGCGACGACGCCATGCATCGACGTATCTTCCTCATTCAACTGCTCGACTAAGGAATGCAGCTGCGAGGAGAAAAGGTCGACATGGTATATGTGCCGATTCAGCAGATCCACGGCGTCCGTCACGCGCATAGAATGGTCCTCGAGAATCAGCAGCTGCTGAGTGATTGTGAGCACTGCCAGTACTGAACGACTTAGCCACTGCACGGCAACGATCGCCTCTTCCGCCTTCCATCTGCTTCTTGGAGTGAATTCCAGAGCAGGGGGTCTATCTCTACTTGGCGGTTCCTCCGTCTCCATCTCAGCGACATCCAGTACTGTCAGCACGTTGGACCAACAATAAACGAGTTTCGTCTTTGAAGTCTCGGAGTCTCTGCCCTTCAACTTGATTGCTGGAAACCAAGCCAGCGCACCCGTCATCGCACCGTGGGCGGCAACCTCTTTCGGGCGCGGTGACTTGTATTGCGTCTGCGCAACGGGCGTGGTGGAGACAATCACGAGGAGGTAGGGGGTCAGCATAGCGACCAGACCCAGCGAATCGGTTGGTTGTTCCACGTTACCAAGAGGGAGAGGTGAAAAGGCGAGGACGGAACTCGGTCTCCGTATGCGGTGGCCCTCGGCGAAGACTTGAGGATACCGGCCCAGGATTCGGGTTGTTTTCACCGTTCGACCTACTGCGCCCATGCCGCGAGTGGCCAGATGCGAGAACGCCATTCCTCGCTTGTCAGCCGACACGAGTGCAGTGCGTCTCGTCCCCAGGAAGCCAAGGTGGATGACCGACGTTCCTGATATGTGACCATCAGAGGTTCGAGAGTCGAGTTGATTCGCAGGTATTGGGGGTATGTGAAGAAAAGGTCGAGCAGACCTCGAGATCTCCCATGTGAATATGTCGCCAGAGGTATGGCCCCCGGCGACTGTGGAGTGATCGGCCGAAAGTGCCAGCGAGGTGATGGCTCCGCATTCGACAGCTGTCGCAACAGTCAGACCTTAGTCGCTGTACCAGAGAAGTGTGAAAAATCCAACCAACATACCCTTGGTCCCTGTTCCAATGATAGTCTTCAAGCTTTGCTGGTAATCAAACACAAGAATGATCCCTTTAGACGTTCCAATCACAATACTTGTAGAAACCGCCATGCACGTCGGATGACCAAAGTTCCGCTTGCCTACTTCGGAGAATGCTTGCCCGGTAATCTTTCGAAGTTTGGTCCACCGGACTACATCCCAAGGACCTTGAGGGGTTTCGCCGTCGGACTCTCCGGTGATCGGAGACATCCGGCTTGTAAGGGAAGACTTTCGTGAGTGGATATGCGACAGAAACGGCGAGGATGGCCGGAACCCGAGAGGGGAGGAGGAGAGCCTCGACTGGAAGCGGAGCTCAAACGGACGATGGGAAGGACTAGGACTGGGACGAGGGGACGCTCGGAGCGCCAGAGCACTGCTGCTTTGTGACGAGAGGACGGAGCCCTAGAACAATCAGCGGGTGGATCGACGGCATCGAATTGCAAGCACACCGACATGTAGAGAGGGGGTATCATCCGGCGTCGAGGCCGTCTCATCAAGACTGCCGGCAGCACCGAGCTGGCCGATACGGGGCGTTGCTGGAAGATTGCCAGCCTCGGTGTCAGATGAGGGCATCGCTTTCTCTGGCGTCTGGTCTTGGTCGGTCCCCTGAGAGAGATCCTCCTCAAAGTACGCCATTGTGCCATTCTCCAGATCTTTGCGCGGTCCGTCGTCTTCTATGAATCGATTTTGGGCAGGCGTGAGGGCTCCCTCATCCTCCTGGCCCAAGTCCAGCTCATCCTCGCGTTCCCGGTCATCACTGCCCTCGATTTTGGAGCTCATCGGCAGGACGTTCGCATAACCATCTCTCCTCTCTATTCATTCAAAGGACGTTAAGGTGCCGTGATAAGGAACGAACCCACAGCCTGTTCCCGATATTCGATGTGAAAGATGAGGCTGTGCGCGAAGGTTAACCGACCAAGCCGATGGCAGGAGGGACGGAGTTGGAGGTTCCAGGCGATGGATCGACACGCCGGTGACTCGAATCAAAAATGAGGTTAACGACAGATCACAAAACCCATAGAAAACTAGTGAGACAGTGAGAGCGATAACCGTGGCCGTTTTCCCGTGGCGGTTGAAGCAGCTCGTTGAGCTGGAGATCGTCCACCAGAAACGGTAATGGGGAGGCTGGCTTGGCTGCCTGCTATCATGTCACCGACCCCACAAGCCACGAGCAGTCAACAACTTCCAGCAATATCCGGCAATCTGCCACTTTCATCATTTATCTACAGGTGAAAAGAATTGAGAGATGAAATTTTGATGATCTCAGGTGTTCAAATTCTCAGCACTTTACCATCATTACTGTTGATGTCCAGCAAACCATAAACCAGTCAATCCATGTACCTGAGATGTGTGCCTAAGGCTGCGATCAACAGAAGTATCCAAGCCTAGACATATCTAGATGAGCTTGGGTGAAAATGCCATTTTTCTAGCATAATCAATCAGAAATGATCATATTGCTGTCTTATCAATGCTCTCACAGGTTCAAGTGAAAGAATGCAACCGAAACCTCAGCCTACCTCCAGGCTAAATATGCCAGAAACAAACAACATCCAACCATTCCACTCGCTCAGGAAACCTCAAGCAAGCTTTAGTCTAATCGCTATCCATCCATGATTTGCGGAATAATTGGACATACTGCTAGATCTGCCTTGATGGACCTGCAGGTGATAACTCATCCAGACTGATCATCCTATCGACCTGTCCCTCCCGACGTTCATCACAAGCTACTGTATCCATCCACCAACCACCGAGCTTAACCTCTACACGCTATGCTGATACCTTGTCCCTCGCAGAACGCCATAACCCGCAGGGTAGTATCAGCCATTCATCCAAGTCGGAGATTATCCCAAAGGCATCAAGGTACATGACGGGAGTCGATACTACCCAGGTGGTCGTGGTGTGGTCACAAGGAGCTGGTGGTGCGCGGTGATCCCGGGCATTCTTCAAAGAGGGAGGGCGTGCATGATCTGATCATTCCATCGTTCTTCTTCAAGTGAAACGAGATAAGAATAAGAATAAAGCCAATCCCACGTAGCTTCAATTTTGAGCACAGCCCTTCACATTACAGCCTACTACTTACAGAGTATGCTACCCCTCAGCATGTACCCCCTCCATCTCCTGCCTCTCCTCATCGCCCTCCTCCCCGCCCCAATCCTCACCACCCCCATAACCCGATCAACACCAACAACCTGCAACGGCAACCCAGCCTATTGCTCCCGCCTCTACTCCAACATCACCTACCTAGCCGCCCACGACAGTCCCTTCGTCGGCCCCCTCCCGCAACAAAACCAGAACCTCGCGGTGACAGACCAACTAGACCTCGGCATCCGCTTCCTACAGGGCCAGACACACAAGAGCCTCGACGAAAGCGACAATGCGCTCCGGCTATGCCATACATCCTGTCTGCTCGAGGACGCGGGAACCTTGCAGTCGTTCCTGGAGACGGTGAAGGGGTGGCTGGATGCGCACCCGGAGGAGGTCGTCACCCTGCTCTTGACGAACGGGGATAGTGTGCCCGTGGCGCGATTCGATGAGGCTTTTGCGGGGGCCGGGTTGAGGGAGTATGCGTTTGTGCCGGAGGGGAGTCCGGGGGTGTTGGCGATGGATGCGTGGCCGACCTTGGGAGCGTTGATTGAGAAGGGGACGAGGCTGGTGGTGTTTCTGGGTGAGTATCAGTCATCCTTTTTGGAGGCAGGTCCGAGGGGAATAGATGCTATAGCCCAGCGTACGGCCATCTTTGACATGTGGTGTGTGACTGACCATGGGTAGATTACGGCGCCGATGTCACTTCCACCCCGTATATCCTCAATGAATTCTCGTACTTCGCCGAGACACCGTTCGACGTGACGGACCCGACCTTCCCGGATTGCAGCATCGATCGTCCGTCCGGTGCCTCGGTTGATGGGCGCATGTATATCGTCAATCATTTCTTGGACGTCGACATCCTGGGCATCCTGGTCCCGGATCGCTTGCGGGCACCCCAGACCAATGCCGTGTCCGGTAGTGGCAGTATTGGCGCGCAGAGCGCATTGTGCAGCTCTCTCTATGGTCGAAAGCCCAACGTTGTCCTGGTGGATTTCGTCGATCAAGGTCAAGTCATGAAAGCACAGGACGCTCTGAATGGCGTCTGATTTTGTTGGGTGTTCTGTTTTTGTTTCCTGATACCCTCTTGAGTTGAATCCATTCACCATGATTCGTTGCAGATAGCAATTCTATGCCTACCTACTAGAGTGATATATCCAAGAATATTGTGGCCCAATTCTCCATTTCAAATGCCAGAAATTAAGGTAGTTGCTTTCAATCTCCGTACCACTCCGGAACCCTGCTCCGGGCCATGATGCAGTTCGCCATCGCCAAGGGCTTTGACAAAAGTCGAACAATCAGGTAAGATGCGTCAGTAAACCTTGGCAACAGTCATAGTTGAACTTGGTTTTCATTCATCCAAGTCAACTTGCATCTCGCGATCTAAGGCATTGACCTGAGCATTCATTCAAGAGCATCTAAAGTCTCGCTATACATACCCCAGATCTTATTTGCGGAAGCAACGATAATCTCAGCTTTGGCAAGCAGCTTTTTTCTGTATCGCTCAGCCTCCGTGGGATGTAGCTGGCTCTTTTGCGCTTTGCGAGGATTCACCTGGCGACAATTAGCCCCAGGCATACTTCAGACAACCAAATGACATACCATCGTCAGGACCGGAACAAGGTCCTTCGCATCTGCCTCCGCCAAGTCCCTCAAGTTCCGAAACCCATTTTCTCGGAGCAGTCGTGCCGTCCAGCCCTTCACATACGTGACCTGGGCCATCTCGAGTAAGTCTGCGCGCGCTCCAGCTTCCAGTCGATCGCGCATGTGATCTAGAACCGCAGCAAGCATGCCCCAATCCATGCGCTGGCAGAACTTCACCATGCCAGCCGCAAAGCCGTGACATTGCTGAGCTAGTGTCTGAACTGCGCCACGAGGGATGTTGTAGCGACTCGCAATTGTCGATAGTGGCACCTCGTTACTCAAGTCGCGCAGTTGAAAAGCTGTGTAGGCCCGCCGATAGATAGTGGCCTGTTTGGCCTGTTCTGGGTTGTCTTCCTTCAGCCATCCTCCGCTCTGGACCCTGCAAACCGTTAGTGCCTCCATGCCCTTCTACAGACAGAATCAGGAACAACTCAGCGCACATCAAATTCACAAAGTACGGCTGCACACCGACAAACTGCAGCGCCCGCAGACCACTTTCGTCAAGATTATCCAGCTCTTCTCGGAAAATGAGCCAATCTATCTGGGTATGCATTGCCACTTGAATCGGTGTGAACATGTAGAAAACATGCATGTCACCATCCATGACAAAGGCCTGTAAGGCTCGTTTCAATTCTTCGTATACAAAAAGGCCGTCCTCGGGAGCGAACGCCGACGCCACTACGGCCTGCCCAGCTTTTGTCGCCTCGTACGATTCGTCCTCTTTGGAAATCAGTAGTCCTTCGTCAATTAGTTCCTGAAGCGAGGAATGCATAATCGAATAGGCAATCTTCTTGTCCACCGTCCGATACAAAAGAGTGCATTTCACATATTCTTTGATTGCCTCGCAGCCGGAGACCAGTCCCGTGGCAATAGCTTCCAGAAGCGCCCTGAGGATACATCAGAACTGCCCGTGCAGCAGTGTTTTGAAGACAAATACCTTTTTAGTCCTCTCTTCTCCGGTGCTAGACAACTTTCAATGGCCGGCATATCGGCTTCGAGAAGATCACAAACAGCTTGTATATCAGCTTTTCCACATATTAGATACGTCTCACCGGCATCGTCCTTTCCCTTGCGGCCCGCTCGTCCGCACATTTGCCGTCTTACCTCTTGTTAGCTCGGGTCAGTTAAATCACAGTAGGCATCTCTTACAACATCGCCGGTCCGACCAACTCTCGACCCATGCGTGCTCCATTAATGATCACCCTCCTCGCCGGAAGATTGACACCCGCTGCCAGACTGCATGTGGCCACGATAACTTTCAAAACTCCTTGATCATATGCTTGAGCTATCAATTCCCGCTCTTCGGTGGTCATTCCTGCGTCTGTAGCCGAGTTAGTTCATTCACATAAGTCAGCGAGGTAAGCACCTACGGTGGAATCCGACGCCCTTGAGGATGGTTGTTTCGAGAACTGGATCAAGGCCGCTGGGAAGGCTTCTGAGATCGGCAAGGAGATCCAATCTCTTGTTCAATTCATCGGCCTCCAATTCATAGACTGCAGGCATAGCTTCGCTGATGATTGCTGCACTGATATGGCAACCTTGCCGACTCCCGCAGAATACCAAAGCCCCATACCCTGCCGCAGCAGTGTCGACGGCCAGAGCGACCATCGCATTTGTCATGGGGTTCTCAAGTTCTCGGTGTTTTGAACATTGTATCATGCGGTGTGGAGGCATAGTATCCGTTAAGGAAATCGTTTTCATCGACTTCAACCTAGAGATGGTCTGGAACAATTGTCGTGAAGTTGCAGCAGGATAAATAGCGTTCTCATAGACCAGATACTCGTCGATTGGAACCGGTCGATAAGTAGAAATAAAGAACTTTGCATTCATCCAGTCCGCCAACAGTTCCGTATTCTTATCCGTGAATCAGCGAAACATCGATCGAGACACAAGAGTTATCACTTACAGAAAGGGTAGCACTCATGCCAATAATCTGGATGTCTTGTTGCAGCAGCAGCAATTTTGTCACGGTCAGTTCGAGGAGGTATCCACGATGCTCATCGTCTAGCATGTGTAATTCGTCCAAGACAACAACACCCAAGTCTCCAACAGTGCATTCTTCAACAGCGGTATTAATTAAGGAGTTTGCCTGGAAGGCCAAGTCAATGATCAATTCACCTTGTTGATGGCCTCTGAGCAAGACAAACCTTCTCTATCGTGCAGACGGCAATGTCCGTGTCAGCCCAAGAGGCAGCGGTCCTACTCCCACCAAAGTACCCAGTGACCCGAATTGATTTCTGTAGCTTTTTCCAGCGCTGGTAATATGGCTTCGACCGAGCCGCTTCGTCATCGTCGTCAGGGACGTTCTTTTCGACGTTTTCCACAATGCGTCTAAGCCACTTGAGTTTTTCTTGAACGAGTGCAACATACGGAAGGACAAGGATCGCCTTGCGAGTCGGTTTCTCGATGATGCGCTTCAGCATCAAGACATCCGCCACGAGGGACTTTCCGCCTCCAGTAGGCGCTGTGTAAACAAGATGCCGCTCCCCTTCGAGGAGTCCCCGAGCGAGCAAACATGACGCCTGCCACGGGTAGATGCTGGTGACCCCAAGAGCAGCAAAATTGGCCACCAGGGCAGGCGGCAGTCTGTATCGGGGATTTTTGAGAAACAGAAGAGGATTTTGACTGGATCCTGGTACGGCGTTATCTGTCCTTCCTGGTTGGCTGCCTCCTGAGGGGATGGCGGCTGCAACTTGATGAATCTCGCTTGCGACCAGTCGGTTTTTCTGAGGAGTCACTGAGGGACGAGAAAAGTCGACCGCGCGAGTATCCAACGAACCAGCGTTGCTGTGATTAATGCCCTGTTTCAAGTTTGCAACCTTGGAGGAGTCATTTGGGGAATGCTCTGGAAGTCGCTTGTGTCCTGCCAGTGAGGCTACATCATAAGTTTGCTGGCGGGCGATATCGATGGAGGTCTGGAAGCCGTGAATTTGAAATGATTGCCCCGACATCCCTTGAGCATCTGTTCTGTATGCTAGAATAACGGTGCGATGTACGCTTAGCAGACACTCGGGTTCTGAAGGTCCGAGCCGCTGTACAGGATGCTGACGGTTGGCGCCAAATAAAAGAGTGGATGCACCGAGTATGTATCAGACCTGTGCGATCTCCTCCAGCATATTGGCCATCCAACCGGCTTTGAAATCCCAGTCGATCAAAATTTTCTGAGAAGCACCGCGTTCATTTCACTCTCTATTTACTCGCACTGAAGATAATTGCAACAAATGCAACAGCGCGGGTGCACCGCGTTAGTTTCGGGAAACTGCAGTCGCGGATCTTGAAAGAATAGCAGCCTAAGGCAATAAGGCAGCTGTGGCGGTGACTTGAGCCTAAGGCTCTAAGGCACATGATCATTTGCTGCTAACCACAGCCTGCACGGTCTGCACCCTGCAGGGCGGAATGTTCCTGGATCGGATCCGTTCGGCCAACCAGAGCACACTGATCAGTAGCCACCAGACAGTACCCGACCTACTAGCAAAATAGATATCCAATGGATTCCCATTCCCTATATGCGCACGCTAGACGAAGTAGGTAATGGTGCCATGAAAGGGCTTATTATTTACCTAGCCCAGCAGGTTGGATGCCTAGAGGTATAGTTCAGCACAGACCGGGTTCTAAGTACGGAATACATCTACCTACTCTGGAGAGAGTTTGACTCTATGGCCATGTGCTATAACTCTTCTCCTGCGTCAGTTTCTAGCTCATCCAGTATGGGAATTAGTGATTGGTTTTCCTCTTCACAGAAATTATTAATATGGAATATTAGGGGCATATTAATAGTTGTCCAACTTAAAGCATTCAGAGCCAGTTTTGACGAATCATTATCTGTGCTTGGCTATCGGTCGCCTACCTAGGATCACCTAATATGCATGGATGATGTGGTGCATTGGCTTCCGGTCATTACCATTATTTGCTTGATGTAAGTGGTAAGTAGTAACCCCTAATATGTGGATGGGATTGTCCCCTCGGTTCTGCTTTCAACTATCATTAAATACAGGCAAATATTACTGTTCATACTCCTGTAATACTTACTTTTTCAAAGTGAGTATTTATGCAATCCCATTCACTGCCATATGCAATGTGGTATTCGATTTGCTGAAAGCATGTACTAATCGGAAGACCAACTATGAATGCTCGGGCGCATGTACGGTGTACCTCTGGTCATATGCAGCTACTACTATCTAGTATCTAGTACGTACACATGACTTGATGCCACTTAAACTAGTGTGGATGCGTTTGATCAATGTGGATGCACACCGTAAGTGCCAAGGGGGTTCACGGCCATGAGTGATCCTAGATTCGACGTAACTAAGTCGTCTATCGAGTCTCCCATAGAACTCTCGAGTCTGAGAGATAATCGCAACGTGAACCGGTAAGACAGCATTGGATCGCGTTCGAGATCCTTTGCTCTTTTCCTTTTCCTTTGGAAGATATAAGAACGAGCATGGCCGAGATCCACTTCCGTACTCTTCATTTTGGCGGATGTACGGAGTACGTGCGGTCCGTTCTATTGAAACTGAGCTTTGCTACATCCGGACTTCCTCGCATAGATGCTTTCTACGAGGATATGGATTGAGAGAGACCGGGACGCAGCTGTTCTCCTTCACTTCCACGGAATAATAAGGAAGTCAAGGGGCGGCAATGTGAGATAGACAAGCAAAGAAAGCAGGACGAGCAAAGGGGTGCAGAGATAGAGCGCCAAATCAGAGAGGAAAATAGTGCCGATGGTCCCCACTTTGACCCTCAGCCATACACATCATCAGTATCTGTCGCCTGTACTCCGTGGCCCTGGATTGACTGACGAGCGCGATGAGGACACGGGGGCGATATAACAGTGATTTGAGCTCTTACTGTAAACATTGATAATTATTTTATCTAATTGCACAGTTACACGTTGACTTGAAACAGGTGGCTCGAGGTGCGCTTCCGCGATGGCGAAACCATAATCTCCATGTTCGGCGTTAATTATATATATTCTTGTTCAGGATAGTCACCAGGTCATGAGTGAACCCTATGGAAGTCATTGCGCCGATAAGAGACAATGTAGTGGAACTGAAGCCGAATATTTACATTTATGTATTTGTCTATTCCGCAATAAATGTCCCTAATTTACAAGGGAAGACAATGACTATCGCGATTGTTTCATGAATTGGTTCAGCTCCCACAATAGGTAGATAGGTATGTAGGTGTTCGATCTGCGAGTACGGACTACGCCTGCCATCGCCACTCGGCAAACAATCCTCCGCAATGTCATCCGCAATTTTGAACAGGAATTATTGTTCGTGATTTAGTCGTAGCACATGCGAACAGGAGGCTGCAGAATACGAACGTCTCAGATCTTCCACTACTGATAAATCAAGGTAACAGCATGTGGCAAGGCATTCGATCAGATCTCCTCATAACTCCGTGAATCAGGTCTGAAAAGAGAAAGAAAAGCTCAGACCGGACTGACCTCACCATTGAATCCTATTTGACACTGGCCGAGGGACGGACATTTCGCTTTAGTGTGGTGTGTGCACCTAAGAGCTCGAACCAGCAATAGGTAGATAATATTTAGGACCTAATGGTGGCAACTCCAAACGTTCTTGAGCAGCAAATCATCGGCTGTGGAGGTGTTATTCAGTCGGGACTATCATTGGTCGGGTCTAACGTGGTCTACCTACCTATGATCTCCAGACAACCAGCGGTATCAGGGTAGGTAGATTTTCCTCAGGGCTCAGTTAAGAGTGATTTACTTCTGACTGTCCCAAGGAAAGAATCTCTGATTGATATTGAAAGAGGAAATCAGACTACACCCCATAATAAGCAGTGTGTGATTGTTCGAGTCGCAGTCATTTCTGTCGAATAATATCTTAGTTGCAGCCAAGACTATCTCTATGGAACCAGCCAAAAGTCCGCTGCCGCGGGGAGATCCCCAGCAAATGCATTTTACTGATTCCCTGCACCAAGCCACACATATAGCAGTTCGCGCTGGTAGGTAACATGACGATCTCTCTCTCAACCTAAGAGCATCGAGATAATTCATACCATTCAATGCTGGTTGGTCCAGCATATTAGGTAGAAATTATTTACTTCGATAATCCGACGGAGAGTAATATTGTTGAGCTCATGGCAGAGGCCTAACCGAAGGCCTCACTTGACAATTCGAGCCAAATCATCAGCCGTCCCTTTCACTTTATTTCGTCTTGGGGGCAATATTTGGTCGTACAAGTGTCTGATACCCCTCTGTAGGAGCCCCTCTCCCTTTACACTGGAAGACTCAGTAAGGACTAAGGATTCCTATCGTTGCCATTGTTTGTATTGAAAGTGGCGTTTGTCCACACAGGCGTTATTCATTCTTCGGATCGATAGTAGCTAGTGCGAGGGGTCCCAGCCATACCAGACAAAAATTCGAAATTTTATTTTGTAGGTACAGGGAACCTTGGCCTCCTATGGATAGGTATGGATATTCTGTAATCGTATCCAACGTTGATGCTTACTGAAGATTGGGATCTATGTACCCTCTTATAATGTCCTCACCTTCGCACATTCGTTATTCACATGTATCCTCTTCTGTTCAGTAAAATGAAATTCTAGCTGTATGCACGATACCAAGTTCCTGTGCGACTATATCGACCACCTCGGATGCCAGAGTACCTCTCGGCCGTTTCGACTGCGGAGCATAACCACGCACTACATTACTGGATTATTTTTCTCAATGAGGCGATCGCCATCAGTAGGTAGACTACATTCTATTTGTATCTCCAGGAAGTCCAGGGATTCTTGATCTTTTCTGGAAAGAAGGAACATGGTCGCATGGCGTCTTCCAGGACCGATGTTGATGACGGAAAGAAGGTCAGGATCAGGTCCAACCAACACACATGCTGCCCTACGTGACAACATTCCAGCCACAGCCTATACTGGGACTTTTCTCTTCTCTTTCCTTTTCCCATATTTCACCATACATTTTCCGTATCAACTCCAGGTTTTCACCGATCGTTTGCTTATAGCCTTACGTGGTGTACACAGTCTGTTGTGGATGGGATCCTTTATTGTGTACTTGATAGATATTGGGATGCTCCATAATGCGTTACTTTCCCATGGCCCCATGTTCCGATATCATCATTCATCATTCTTTGCATCGGGTCGCTCGGCCCACAACAGACACGCGCACACACAATCCTTTCGAAATGACTAAATCAAACAAACCCAGCGGGAACCACCCATATAAAACCACTAGACTAGACCTGCCTACATGAGTAAATTCTCCCGCTAGCACCAATACGTAGATCACCCAACGGGTCAACAGCCGCCTTAACCATTATGAGTATGACTGAGCAAGGGGACCAGGAGATAGACTAGTGTGTGAAATAATCGTCGGTCCTGTCCATCTGTCGAGTGTCTTCCGAAAACTGGCCCGTCTAAGCGTCCAGTGTCTTGCCATGACCGACAAGACTGCAAAGGATAGTGATCCCAAGTCGATGCATTAATGTACTAAGAAGAAAACAAAATACCAAGCATAACGGCGCGGCTGGAGCAGCCAGCACACTGGAACAATCCAGCAACTACCTTACCTTACCTAGGTACGGAGTACCTTAACCTTGTATGATACAATCTATCCATCAAACCGAGTCAAGGAATATCATTGAGGATAGGGAGGACAATTGCACATACTGGGAGTTCAAGTCTTTCAAGGGCTCTCTTTCACCCTCGGATTTCCCGCCTCACTCAGTCGATCTCTTCGTTCTCTTTACCCTTCTTCTTTTTCCCTACCGTCCTTGACTAAACGCCGTAGATACTCGGTAGAAGTAAATCTCCTCTGGTTCGTCCTTTGGTGGAGGACCCGTCATATTAACATATCGGGACTAGGGGGGCAAAAGGGACGTGGTCTGGTCGGGATCCTCTCATCCTCTAGTTAGACGGCTTTCCTGATTCTCTGTCTGTCTTTCTCATTGCCTATCTTCTTCCCTCTTTCTTCTCATTATTGTCACTATCCTCCTTCTTCTCATCATCACCATCGTCGTCGTCCAAGACTCCTCTCCTCGTCCCTTGCCTCGACGAACTCATCTGCCCTTTTCCCTCTTCCTTTCCTACCCGCCTACTTTACTCTTCCCGCTTCGGTACCTTGCCAACTTATCTTGCATCTTTCCCGACAACTCTCCTTCACAACGCTCGGGTCTAGGCAGAGTTCTATCCTGGGCTTGTACTGATTTGATTCGATTCGATAAATCCTACTTACGGAGTATTGGGACACTACTACGACCTACCAAGTCAAGTACCAACCTAGGTAACCTTCTCTACTTCCATTCACTTGACTTTTTGACTTGGCTTTGCCTCATGGACCTACATGCATACATACTTTAAACCACCTCCTACTGGCCCATATTACCTCTTCATTGCTCACTCACCCCACGAGTCTTCCCCCGACACATACACCTACTTACGGTACCCAAGTGGCTTTGCTTTTGTTTTGCTTCCACCGCCGTCACTTTAACTTTATCCTACAGCATCTCTCTCTCTCTCTCTCTCTCTCTCTCTCTCTCGCTCGCTCTTCTTCTACTTCTTCCTCTTCTTTTCTCCCTTCCTTCTCCACCACTACCCCCGTCATCCATTTCGGTCTTTCTGACTCTCTCTCAACCTTCCCGTCTCCCTTTCATTCCTCTCATATCCCCAGTCATATTCCCCTCGTGGCTCGTCTAACAGTTCTAAGCTAGCTTTGTCTTCCCTGGTGTCTGGTAGTCTCCCGCCTTGGCCCAATTTTGAAGGTTATCGATCGTGATCTTCAAGATATCCTGCGCCTCTTGTCCGACTTTTTCTTGACACGCGATTGACCCTTCCCACACCCCCTGCGGGAACTGGTCCTAGCACCACTTTTCCATCTCGCAACCAAGTCTTCCCTTTCCGAACTTGTTTTGCGTAGGCATTCGCATCACGGGACTCTACTCACTTTCCCCCCTTGACGTTCTGGCTTGCGTTCGCTCGGATGTCTTCAGCTTTCACTCATCCCCTGCACAACCAAGTTTGATGAGGCATCGTCCTTCCGTCGCGGCCCGTATTTGAACCTTGCAATATTTTGTGTTCAAGCCAAATTGGGGGTTCGCTTTCGCCTCTTAACACCGACGCAACGCTGGCGGTACGCTGCAGCCACCCCAGGCTCCGTGTAATTCTTCTCACCTTTCAACCGCTCTGAGGGCTGGTCATGGCCTCGGACAGGTCGCCGCCCCAGCAGCAACAGCAAAAACAACAACAACAACAACAACAACACGTGAAGTCCACCTCACCATTACATCGCATGCCCACTTCTGGTCAAACATCCCGAAGGGGATCCGCGGATTCTTCCACCGCCCAAGGCAACGCCACGGCGAATGAATCATTATCGCTACCCATGACAGCCAGCGCAACTCCTTCAGAGGCTGCGGGTGCGGAGCCGCCCAGCTCCTCCGCCACTCCTGCGCCTTATGGCACTCGGTCCAGGGGTCGCAATGCGCCTCGCCCCAACTACGCCGAAGATCGCGACATTGACATGGATCTCGAACTGCTTCCACCCTCAGCACCCAAATCATCTAAGAAAAGTGGTGGTACAGCTGCCACTAGCACTACTAATGGTGTCAAACCCGACGGCGAGAAGGCTACATCATCATCAAGTTCCCGAAAGAGCCTAACCGCGGTGAATGGACCTAATGCCGCAGCCGCCAAGGACGCGATTCCTGGCACGTCTTCTTTTTCAGCGAAGCCAGACGATGGAGCCGGTTCTTCGAGTTCGTCAAGGAAACGTAAACAGCCGGCGAGCTCTACGAATTTGAACCCCACAAATGGAAATGCGGCCAAAAAAATCTTTACCACTGCTCCAAGCGCGGACCCCAGCCTGGCTGAGTCCAACATGGTCTCTTTCGAGAACCGTGGTGCCTACCTCAAGGATGGCAAATTGACTGCCGATGACGGCACAACGTTCGCCGTGAATGGTAAGTTATTCGAAATACAATGCCTGGTCAGCGATTTTTGCTAAATTCATACATTCAGATCATGTTTACCTCATTTGCGAACCTCCTGGAGAGCCATACTACCTTGCTCGGATCATGGAATTTCTTCCGTCTAAAGATAAACCCAATGGACCCATTGAAGCGCTGCGAGTCAATTGGTACTATCGACCTCGTGATATTCATCGCATCGTCGCAGACACAAGGCTTGTCTTCGCTTCCATGCATTCCGACACATGTCCGCTCACATCATTGCGTGGAAAATGCCAGATCAAGCATCTATCGGAAATCGACGATTTCAATGCGTATCGGAAAAGCAGGGACTCGTTTTGGTACGACAAGATGTTTGACCGTTATATTCATCGCTACTACGAGGTCGTTCCGACCAAGAAGGTGATCAATGTACCAGCCAATGTCAAGAAGGTCCTTGATGAACGTTGGAAGTTCATCCTAGTGGAGATAGGAAAACGGAAAGAACTGTTTAGTGCGGTCAAGACCTGCAAGCGATGCGGTTTGTACGCTGCTAGGTAGGCGTTTGTTGATAGAGCGATAACATCCTTTGACGTTCACCACTGACTCATCTTATAGCAATGACTCAGTTGATTGCGCTGTCTGCCACAATACCTATCACATGCACTGTGTGCGCCCGGTCCTCACCAAGAAACCCGCCCGAGGGTTTGCATGGGCCTGTGCAGCTTGCAGCCGTGCACAGGAAAGGAAACTTGAGGCTCGAAACACGCCCATCATCGGTGAAGCTGCAGCCGAACCGGAGGAAGAAATTGCCGAAGAAGAAGAGGAGGAGTCGAATGGCCTTCCTAACGGTACCAATGTCAGTACGCCTGCTCCGGCGGAGGAGGAAAATCCTCGTCCAGCGACGAAGGAACAGATTGCGCAAGCTCGGATGTGGCCCTACCGTTATCTGGGGATTCATTGTCGGGTGGAAGATGCGCTCGATTACGATGACCGCATCTATCCTCGAGCCAGTTCTCGATTGGGACCACGGCATCAAGCGATCGTCAACCCATGGCCTGGCCGTCCCGTCGAGTACGCCAAGCCGATTGATATCAAAAAGAAATATTTGAGTCGCTCTGGCCGCAAAGATTCGAAGCTCTCGAAAGAGGCTCAGGCAGCAATCGAAGCAGCGAAGCAGGAAATTGCAAACCGCCCTAAATGGGTCATGGATGAACCAGTTGGATACGTGCGACGCGGCGAGGACGAGCCAGTTCAAATCAACGGCAAGCCAGCCCGTACTGCCGAGTTACTGTTTAAGATGCCCACTGCAACGCAGATCCCAAGCCGGGGCGAAGATGATGCGCCTGGAGCGGAACTCAGTCCTGCTGATCGAGAGAAATTCATTGACGAATACATGGAACGGGCCAAGGAAATCGCACCTCAATTAGGAGAGGAGAAGTACTCTACAAATTTCCTGGATAAGGCCTTGGAGCTTCTCTATGCAAACAGTTTTGATGCGGAGGCCGCTCTCGCGAAGCTGAAACAGCAGAACAAATACAAGGACCTGAAGGAACCGCATTTGCGCCCCGAGGAAGTGAAGTTGTTCGAACAGGGCGTTGCCAAATACGGATCAGAGCTGCGCAATGTGACCAAACACGTCGGTACAGTTCCGCATTATCAGATCGTTCGATTCTATTACATGTGGAAGAAGACCCCGCGCGGTCGGCAGATTTGGGGCAGCTACGAGGGCAGAAAAGGCAAAAAAGAAGCGAAACGACATAATGCCAATTCGAAACTTGTGGATGACGTGGCTGATGACCACGATGATTCGGCTTTTGACAATGAGAAAGCGTTGGAGAAGAAGCGTGGCTTCCAATGTAAGTTCTGTTCCACGCGGTCTTCGCGGCAATGGCGACGCGCCCCCGGCGTTCCGCCTGGCACCACGACCCCGAGCGAGCCATCGAAGAAGGACAAGGGCCCACTGCTCACGGTGGCTCTCTGTCTTCGCTGTGCTTTATTGTGGAGAAAGTACGGGATTCAGTGGGAAAGCGTGGATGAAGTTGCAAAGAAGATCGCGCAGAGTGGCAACAAGTCCTGGCGCCGCCGAGTCGACGAGGAATTACTGACGCAGCTCCTCCTCTCGACTGAGACACCGATCAGTATCAACAGTGCCACAGCAGCCACTGCGGCCTCGATCGGTGTGCCAGTCAACGCGAACCCGCAAGTACAGCCACAAGAGTCCAACAAGAAAAAGGCAAAGCCCAATGAGAAAGAGAGCACAGCTACTTCGACTGCCACATCCGTCGAACCAGCACCGAAAAAGAAACCGGCCCCGGAAAAAGCGCCAGAGCCGCAACCGATCGTTCCGGATCCTCCAAAAGCCAAAACACTTCCCTGCGCCATTTGCAACAGGCTGGAGCCTTTGGGCGACCAACACTTGTCGTGCCGAGACTGCCGTTTGACTGTTCACCGCAACTGCTATGGAGTCAGTCCTTCGCGTAATTGTGTGAAGTGGTTGTGTGATATGTGCTCGAATGACCGAAATCCCATGATCTCCACATCCTACGAATGTGTTCTGTGCCCTGTGACCTGGACGGAGCATGAATTGATGGAGGCGCCAAAGGTATCGCACAAGAAGAAGACGGATCGTGATCGGGAGAAGGAGAGACTCGAGAAGGAGATGGTGCAGGAGGCTATCAAGCTTTATCGGCAACGGCAAGAGGCTGTAGGCAAGCCAATCGGTCCACGAGAACCGTTGAAGCGAACTGCCGGTAACAATTGGGTTCATGTCATGTGTGCTGTCTGGACCCCCGAGATCAAATTCGGCAATGCCAAAGAGCTTGAGCCTGCGGAGGGATTTGGACTTATCGCGGCAGACAGGTACAGGGACGTGTGCAAGCTCTGCAAGACCACCAAAGGTGCATGCGTTACCTGCAGTCACAGCGGCTGCAACGCCCGCTTTCATGTGGGCTGTGCTTTTCAGGCACAATACACCTTCGGGTTCAACATCACGCCGGTCAAAAGTTCCAGACGGGACACAGTGAGCAGTATACGACTTGGGGAGGAGGTGGGAGCAGCAACAGCGGGCATATGGTGTCCACATCACGCTCCTTCATCCGGCCTTCATCAGATTGGTGAAGTGACCGGAGAAGACGGCTTGAACGCACTTCAACAATTCGTTCAGTCGTACAAGCAGGCAGACTTGACCTTGCCCGGGACGGTTCGAAGAGCAGCATATGTACAACAAACGGTCAATGCTTCTCAGCATGCAACGACCGCCGGAACTCGGCGCGCCTCCGCCATCAACGGTATTGTCACTGCTGTCCCTCAATCTGCACCCACCACGAAGGAGAACCAGAAACCCGCCCCGACGGCTCCAGAGCCACATCCGGATGAGATGGAGATCGATACCGGAAGCCATGCTCCCCGGCAAGTTTCGAGTCCCGAGGTGGAGCGGAAATGCGGTCGTTGCTCTACCTCATTCAGTCCTCGGTGGTGGCCGATCGACGGTTCGCGGCGAGCTGCTGTCCTTAACAGCAGAGGCTCGAGCATGAATGGAATTGGATTGAGTTCTTCCAGCCCACCATTCCTTTCCCAGAATCTATCCCAGCCTTCGCTATCCAAGCTGAATGGCGATTACAGCTCGATCCCAGAGGGGCCACTCTACGAATGTCATAAATGCTATCTGAAGAATGCTACAGCCCAGCCATCCCCAGAGCCTCGACCGTCTCCCTACTCAGCGCAGCGGCCAGTCCTGCCTGCTCCTCGAATCCCCGAATATCATGGGCATCCTTATGGACCACACGCGCATCCGACTCCCCCTCCGACCAATGTTCTCCCGAGGCCGCTCAGTGGCCCTCTTGCTCATGGCCCTGAATGGTACCCGGCCCATGAACAGCGGCCGACTGAGCTTGCCGATGGTAAGTTGCGCAACGGCTTGCCAGTTCCGGGATACCATGGAGGACCCCCAACCGTCCAGACTCATCCTCTCAATGGCTTTCAACATCCGACGCCACCTGCTCCCCACGCTCCTCCTCCTCCTCCACCTCATTATCCCGGCGGTGCGCCTCCACCTCCGCACCAGCCATACAGTGCTCATCAAAGCCCGTATGCGCCTGTGTCCATACCATCACCTCACCCATCCCATGCACCGGGCCCTCGACCGTACGCATCCTCGGCGTCACCTCCAACGGCGCAAGCGACGATCGTCCGCCACTCTCAACACTCTCTCAGCGCTTTGAACGGAGGCCCGCCTCCGCGAATGTATTCTGTGGATCGCATCCTCAGTGCCCCGACACAGTCACCCCCAGTGTCGCAAGCGCGTATGGATCCCCGGGGTTTGTCGTCTCCAGGCAAAATGGAGGACACGCCTCTCAATGCGGCCGGAGGAGCGATGAGCGCTGGCAGGAGTTCGGGTGTCAATGGAACACACGGAGGATCTGGGGCAAGCGCCAGTCCGTCCTTGAAGAATCTTCTTTCGTAGGGTACGGTACGCGAGTAGGCAAAGTGGTGGATTGCGAATGTATGATAGTGTTTATTATTTTCTTTTTTTGCTTTCTGGCATTCAAAATGGGGTTGGGAGTTCTTGTCATCATGAGCGCCATTTGCAATTTGTCATCATTATCTTGCTATTCTTTTTTCTCTCTCTCCCTCTTGCATGTTCGTGCTTATGGGAGCCATATCTACAAGGAAGAGGATAGAGCATCATCTTGGGGTGCATGGGTTGGGGTCTTGTCAGCGCTCGATTGTTGCAGCATCAGGCTATCTATCTATTGCATTTTAAGAGACGAACAAGCTTTATTTGATCAACTCAAAATCGTACTGTATTCTATTGTTAGTAAACAGAATGTGGGTGTCATCATTATCCTGACTTTGATTCTTGCCGATCAAGGAGGTCAATTCGGGGTGTTGTCGCATGTCTGAGGGATCAGTCAAAATTAGGTATTTATCCCTTGGCTTCTCTTCCCACTTTCAGATCACCGCGATCATTCCAGGAAGAGTTGATAGATACAGGGTAGGCCGTCGGCCAAGATCCGACATGGTTTTAAGCCTCAGCTCTCTTTGCCAATCATCCCTACTTATCTTTTCATAATGCTCCGACGTACGTATGGTAGATATGTTTACGTGATGATTTTAGGATATGGAGGAACTAAACTACTCCGTCGCAGTAGGCAGACGCTAGGGGGATTCTGAAATCTGGACCGTCTCCAGAGCGGAGCCACAACGTACTACTCACTAAAGTACGTGCCTAAGTGTACTCCGTACGGACTATGGAGTAAGGTACCTAAGGTATCTGTATCTGAGTCTAGTAGTACTCGGTAATGGTGCCTGAGCAGTGGCTATCAGGATTGAGATTCTACTACCACGGAGTGAATAGACTCAATAGATGGATAGTAGATACTTGCTCTGAGGAGCATCACATGAATGTGAGTCCCTTGATGGAAGTTGCCACATAACATCATTGTACTTACCTAATACCTCATCGCAGTTAGGTTTGCAAATTGCAGCGGGTTGTAACTTTGAACGGCGTGCCTAAGGCACCGAAGATAGCTGTAAGGCTGTAAGTACCTTACTCTGTAGGACTGTCGGTGGCACCAGATCACGTCAGTGGTTGACTTGCCACTGATCGAATATTGCATCTGTGGTGGTTGCGCCCCCTGAGGATATAATTGATTGATTAATTTTGCTTTACTTCAGACTGTTCCATAGCCCCTTAAGTCATGGCTGAAAGGCTTAAACTGCTGTGTACTCTGTAATTACTATTGTGTCAAGCATCCAAGGTACTCGGTATAATTTTCAGATACTCTCAGGCAGCAAAGTTCATTCATAGATACATACTCTCAGTCGAGTAATGTACCCCGGTGACTTCACATTTGAATAGGGAAGATACAGAGTACGTACCTACTTCGGTAAGGGTCAGTTTGTAAATCTGGATAAAGGAAATTGCGAACCATAAATACCCGCAAAAGATATCCTAGGTACAATCTGATTTGCTCAGCCAACATTCTAGAAGACGAGCGGAGTGCAGTTGTGGATGAGATTGCATGGCTTGGTCAATCCACTTTCCCCACTTACTGCATCTTGAATTTTTCTTTTCTTTTTCGGTCAGGTGTCTGGAAATGGATGGTATTGAGCATGTTCTGTTACTGATGAAGAGATGGATGTTTGCGCAAGAATTAGGTAAGTATCTATCTAGGATTCTAGGTACTTGAGCTCGAGCTTGATTCGGTGCCCAACTGCAGTGCCCTTCTCTGTACTACAGACTCGGAATGTTTCTAGATGGTTTCTTGCATTGTTCTCCTTGCCTTTGCCTTTTTCTCTACAGGTGAATCATGCAACTCGTGCACTGATAAATACCTTATGCCTGGTTCTCGGCATAAGGTAATTGAGGATGATTGCAAATACATGTAGGTGTACCAATGACAATACCAGTATTACCTTACCGACCAAGTACCTAAGGATCGGCCCCATCGCCGAGTCTGACGACGCCCGCACCCGCTGTGCCGCGACCTTCTGGAAGACTGGAAGAAAAACCCAAGAAGAGTCCTCATCTGCACAGTACGACCACAATCTACAATAATAGTAGATGGATCATGGATGTACATAATCGTAATGCCAGATACTAGATAGATATTGTCTAGTCGATCTTAATTCTAATCTGAACCGCTAGCACTAGTAATTAATTGTCTTTAGTCTTTACCTTAGTCTAATCACTATACCCTCATAGTCATAACCTCATTCCATTCCTCTCCTCTCCTCCTCCACTTGGACTTGGACCCTCCCCAAGATCGACTAGTCCCCTTCTTTTTGCCTGTCTTCTCTCCTCCTTCTGCTCCATCAGCCTCAGTGTATCTATCTACCTTAACCTAGGCACTGTCAATCTCCATCATCGTCATTCCATATCTTTTCTTTTTTTTGTGAACTTTTTTTTTTTCTTTTTCCTCTTTTTTTTTGAACCTTTTTTTCACCTTTTCCACTCCATCTATCAAGACCATCTTTTTACGCTTTACCATCAACTATCTAGACAGACACCATCTCCTTTCCACCACTTAACCTCATTCCACACTAGTGGTTGTCCTCCTCCCTTGTCCCCCCGTTACATCAACATCAATCCTCACCAAGGAAATTCGACTCGTGCGACAATTCCAGTCTTTGTCCTCCCTGATAGACAAGACCTGGTGGTTCAATCGCCTCTGTCCATCTCCGTGCCGTCTCTGCTCCGCCTGGCCCTCTCGGAGGCCCATCATGGCATCCTGAGAATTCCCCCTCCCCCATCCAGGACCTCGAATTTCGCGTCCGTCTCGGCTAGGCGATTCTTGAATACGTTGCGATTCCGATTCTTCGCTTTCTGGTGGATTATCGACCGGCGTGTATCTGTCTAAGACGGCCTTGGGTGTTCTGCGGCAATTGGTGCTCCCTCCCGACCGTTTCACCTCGCCGCCCCGATTACCATTCTCTTTGATCGATTGATCATCCCCCTGCGATCCGTCGCAGCGTGTCGCTTTATCTCTCCCTCTTTCCTTTCAGGAGATTTATATTTATTTACGATTCAAAAGTGAGTGAATTGTGATGTTACGTGTGGATTTGGTGATTGCGACCAGAGCCGGCATTTCTTTTGAGTTGGAGACCAAGGGTGCGCTACTGCAGGGCTGGACTGGACTCTGGATTGTCTCAGAACGAGACATCTAGGCAAGGGACTGCTGTCTTTCCTCCCCCGCAGGACAACAATCGAAGCCCAACCTGCTGGTGTGTGGGAATCTGCGGCGAACAAACTCATTGTTCGGGATTGCGCTGCTGGCCTGGATCGTCATTCGTTTGTTTCCTCATCGTTCTCTGGGCACAGGGCCCTTGCCTTTGACTCCATTCGCTTGCATATACTTTTGTCACATTCAGGATTATGGCGACCAGGAGTGCTAATGCCATTTCTCCAGAGTTTATAGAATCATCGTCGAACCGAGTCTCTCGTTACAACATTGCGCCCCGCTCCCATACAGCTCTTCTGTCCTCCGCTCGTTTTTTTTCCCTTCTACCGGACTCACGCTCGACGATCTGGTGTCCGCATACCATATGAGACCAAGGCCAGACTGGGCATCTCTTTCTCTTCCTTCTACTTTTCTCTCTTCCGCTTTTCCTTAGATCTGTGTGAGCTTTTATCTGAGCCCAGAATCTCCTGGCGATGGGCGTACCCAAACCGGCCGATACCATGGATCACGTCGAATGCTGCGCAGTATATATCGATGATCGCGTGCAAGAGGAACGATGGGTGGACCGGGATTCGTTTGACTCGACAACCCTCGCTCCCCGCAGCGACACCATTCGTGATGATGAACCTGAATCGTTGCGATCGGACGTCGCGCTTTTGTTAGAAGTGTGTAAACAAAGTATGCACTGCTCCTTGCTCCGTCGCTTATATTCATGCTGACTGAATCGCAGTATATCTCTGTCATGTCGGGACGACTCTCGCCGCCAAACTCGCCGAGCTCTCTGAGAGTGCCAACAGTAAATGCACGCCTATTTTCGCTTTCTTCGACATTGAACTTGGTCGCAAGGAGGACTCCGTCCGGGATCGTCGCAAAGCTAGCCGTTCTTCGTGGCCGGACGTGGGACCTCCCTCTCCGACATCTATCCGTCGCGGTTTCACCTTCTCCTCTCAATCTGACTCCTCCTACGGCTTGCAGTTGCTCTCAGGGGTATCTGCGGACATTCAAGTCTCCGAGATCCCAAACCTGGTCATACCGATTGCGGTCTTGCGCCACTCGTCCAACGAACCAACCAGCACTCCTACAACACAACCGTCTGCCACTCCCCTTTCCGATCCGCAGCAGATTTCCAAGTGCTTAGATGCAGGCGCGGTCGACGTTCTCACAACACCGCTGGACAGGGCGAGAGTGCAGGGCTTGATAGTCCATGCCTATCGCGTGCACAAGTCGGCGCGCAAGGAACAATCTCGCTTCCTCGCCAGGAAAAAGTCGCGGAAACAATCGTGGGTGGGCGTTCACGATGAGCAGCCATATGCCTACTTGAGAGAGGCAATGTAAGTGCAATTTCGCATAATGCTGCTATCGCAGTGCTAATTTATTCTCGTAGGGTATCCAAACTCATGAAGGGGATCTGCAACCCCGAGGAAGTCATTGAAGAGTTCCAGGACAGGTGTGTTGCTCCCCTGCCTTCGAGTTTCTAACCACCGGCTAACGCATAAAAGGGATCTGGATGTGAGTCCAGAGCGGCAGAAAGTTGTGAGGAAGTTCATCGGGAACTGGAACTTCACTGCTCATGAGTTCTCCGAAGACGAACTCGTGTTTGGGGCCTGTGAGATGCTTCAGCATGCTTTCACTCTACCCAACTTAGATCAGTGGCGATTAACACCATGTAAGTGATTTGCGGGGTTTAATACTTTGGGGATTTGACTGACGCAGGACCGTTCTTTCGCAGGTGAACTTCGAACTTTTCTGCTCGCTTGCCGCGCATCGTACAATTCATTTG